TGGTTTAATGTCTTAGGAAGCCCTTGCTTCGTTAGTGTCTGTGGAAATTCATTGGAAGAGTGGTCTGCGTCATTAATCTCGAGTTGCAATGTACTATTGTTTAAAAAATGTTCTTAGAATCAGAAAATTAAAATGTTACGTGTAAGACGTGTAATAGAAAGCTTCCCTTCAGAAGCTTTGGAAGATGAGTTACAAGTTGCACCTTCACCATGAATTCTTTTGGCAAAACTGTCTTTCTGATCTGAGAAAATAAGCACAGCACAGATTGCCCTTGGCTTTCAGTAGGAGACTTTCGAAGAAGTGCAGCTTTTATTGTTATGGGGGTTGTTTATTTGTTGGTTTTTTCCCAGTTCAGTAGTGTTTACGGTGTTTTGTGTGTCTGTGCATTCTCCAAAGAGGGAAAATCTTTAAACTGTTCTTACATTTGTTTTCCATCTTCTAGCTTTTGACAATTTTTGTAAGCGCTAAGCTAGTATCCTATGTCAAGTTTTATCAGAACAACAAAGACTTCATTGACTCCCTGGGTAAGTTTTCAAGTCGTTGTATTTCTGACATAGCTTAGATTATAGAACCTGCAGAGGACTTCAGTTCCAACCCAAATATCAAAGACAGAATTTTAATAGTGACTTTTTTTTTTTTCCTAAACAGTGGATCAGACTGTAACCTCTCAGACTAAGTGTGGTTTGTTAGATATGCTAGAACAAGCTGTTTTGGGGGTTCCAAATAGAATCTGTTCTTCTCCACTTCATTCCCTTAAGCCCTTCGGGAGGGAATATTTACTGCATTGGTACGTCAGGCTGGCTCGGAGATGACAACTCCAACAAGCGAGACAGCAGCTTGTGTAAATCTCTTAACAGTGTTTTTTTAATGATCAGTAACTTTATAACAGCAAATAGCTCAGATAGTTGCCCTGAACTGCAAGGTAAGAGATGCAGGCAGTGTGCTGTGTGCGCGTGTGCTGCTGCGTTAGACCTGGCAAGTCACAGTCTGTCCCAGTTAATTTGTTTCATCACATGGAGCGATGTGATGGAATGTTAATGTCAGCACCCTCTTTATTTACACACTGTGGAAAAAAGGAGTAGTAATTAACACTGTGACACTCCCCCGTTGATGTGTAATTGACTGTTTCAAAGGAGCACTGGTTCATAAGCTATTGCGTGCATTAAAATTACGTTTTTTATATTCCAGCTTTTTAGGACAGGGGTCAGTGACAATGCAGAAATTGCTCAATGATGCAGATTTTTTTATTACTGCATTAAGGTTTTGACATATTAGTAATGAATAAATGTTTCCATAAAATCTGATTTTTTTTTTTTATAACTTTGATTTTGAAATGACACTTGAACACGAAGTGAATGCATTTGAATAAAGGCATGGTTTTGCTAAAGCTGAGTTTAGTGCAGCCTTTTAACATATGCATTATTTTGTTTAATGGAGTGTGGTATAATTCTGGGAATAATTACCCTCAAAGCTTAAAAGTGCTGGTACTCTGAGTATTAAAATAATAGTTTTGTTCTTTTTTTTGAAGATAAAAATTAGCAGCAAGTTTTCAGTAGTTTGTACATGTGCACAGGATAACATTATCGCTTGTCTCTCTATCTAAACATTCACTGTGTGGACATTTTATACTTCTCTTTCTAAGGGGAGAGATTTTTTTATATAGCAGTTACTTTTATGTGTTGGAAAGGTTTATCAGTTTGGTACTCGCCCGTGGAACTATTTGCTTAAAATGCAGCTGTGCTTATATCTGTACATCATACAACAGTCAGCATTTATTTTGCTTTGCCTTCCTGTATCTACGTTTAACTGTGAGTATAAGGTCTCCTTATTTTCAATATGTCTGGTATTCAGGTGATCTAGCAAAACCCTTCAATATCTGTTTTGAAAAACCACCTTCCGCCTTGCCTTGATTTCTCACCTTCTTTGTGGTGCACTCAGGAAATTCTGAATGCCTTTCAGCTATGGCTGAGGTAGAGATTCTGAAGCAGTTCCAACTGCAATGCTTGGAACTTGGTCTACTTCTTTCAGCTGTGCTTTCTGAAGAGCAGTGGCAGGTCAGTGCAGAGCACAGTATGATTGTTTGAGGAGGCATTCAGCACTGCTCTAAAACATCCAGATCTGTTCCCCAAAACACGTGTGTTTAATCATTCTCTTTCTCTCTCTCCCAATTCTCTCAAGTGTTGGGCTTCAAATAAAGAAGGATGTTGTTAATTTCAGAGCTGTTGCAAAATCAGCTTTATTTGGGTCAGAGCCAGTTAAGACTGGTCCACAAAAGCTGTGCAGTGAAGGCTCCTACAGGTGGCTTCAGTTGGTTACAATTTGTTGTTTTATTAATGCTGACAACTTAGGCCAGCAGTAGCATTGTCTGTGTCAACTGAGTCGCCCTAACATGTCCACATTTAATCTGGTATTATCAGCAGCCTTTTTCAGAAAGTTAATCAGCATCTCATTTGCATTTGTTAATTAGGGTTAATGTGTGCTAATTGATTTTTTGATGCTTGTAGATTTCCATTAAACTCAGGTATATTTTCTGATGCTCCTCATTCGTATGAGTTATAGTGATCACGTTTTTGTTGAATTGGTGCCAAATAGGGAGCCTGCATCATAATTACAGCTAATTAACACAACATGATGTCCTCTACTAATGTGCTTTCCTATTAGAGTACAGATGTTATAAATTCCAAACTTAAATATTTAGTGAAGCCGTGTGGATGCTTATAATGTCACTCCAAAACCAAATGATTGCTGCTCATTTAAAGGAACCTCCAGTGAAGCCTGGTGCCATGGAGAACTTGATAAAGAAAGGCCTTGGCTCATCCAAGGGCAGCTCTGTTCGCCTGCAGAGAGAGAGAACTCAGCTTTACCTGTGCAAGCCCAGGGTTCTGTTCTTAGAGTTGCCATTCATACTACCTTGCAAAAGGTAGTATGAACACATCTTGGCACCTGTTTACATGCTCTTGCAGAGCACTTTCTTTTTTAGATAGTAGAAGCAGTGAACATGCATGTAACTCAGTGCTTTTATAATAAGCAGCTACTCAGGACACGTGTTTAGGGGACAGAAATGTTACGCTGCTGAGCCATGACAGTCTTTTAAAGTACATACATGTGAACGAGCAGTGAGGCTGGAGGAAGGCTTTGACATCACCAGGTATTTTTCTTGCAGTGCACTGCTATGCTTCCTGATGATCCAACTGAAAACATCACCTGTGCCCTTACAGCCCAAGTTCTGATGATGTCCTCAGTGGTTCAAAAAACTCTGCACTCTCTTCCTTTTGGAAATTCATTTTACTGATGATTGGGTCTTGGTGAATTCATGAGTAAAGTAGGTGCTTTAGCAAAGAGGATGCAGGAATAAATATTACCTCAAAAAACACTGATAAAGCCAGGTAGAATGTTTTCACTATGTGAAATTCTAAATTATTGGAAGAATATGTAGTAAAAACCATGAAAAGTAAACTAGGTATTCTTGAATTAATATCCATAAACCGTCAATACTTTTCACACAGGCTTGTTGCATGAACAGAATATGGCAAAAATGAGGCTACTTACTTTCATGGGCATGGCTGTAGAGAATAAAGAAATATCATTTGACACAATGCAACAGGAACTTCAGATTGGAGCTGATGATGTAGAAGCATTTGTCATTGATGGTAAGAGCTGTACCAAGTACTTTATACAGTGCTAATGAACTGTACCCTATATAGTCTTCTGAGCTAACATTAAACATTGAGAGAAGTGTTCAATTCTATTCCAGTATAGATGTATCTGTAAAACTTTTGTGCTTGAATGTATGACTTTGAAAGAGTTACTTTCTTAGTCATGGGAAATATATTTCAAATAATTCTGTCTAATAAATTGTTTACAGGTTTGTCACCTGGTGTTGTTTGCTGTCATTAAAACTATTGGTTTGTAGGAGTATTTATTATTATTTTTATAAGTTTCTTGAATAGTTCAGTTTGACATCAATAAGAGCAAGATGCATCCATCTTATAACATCATTTTGCATTTCTGCCTATTGAATTGTTAAAGCTGGCAGCAAAACAGTGTTAGGTGAACTACTGTTTTATAGGAGGCTTTATGCAACGTGACATCACCCTATCTTGAAAATAGGGCTTAAAACAGCATTTCTTTTTTGCAGCTGTAAAGACAAAGATGGTATACTGCAAAATAGATCAGACACAGAGGAAAGTAGTTGTCAGGTAAGACTTAATTCTTCGTAGCATTTTGTAGAACTTAGTGTGTTCTAATTATTTCACTTACAGTTGTAGAATATTTTAACTAGAGGCAAGGTATTGTTCCTAGCACTTGGTGATAGTTAAGTAGTTGCTATTTATCATAATTTTATTAAAGCTCAGACTGAATGTGATTAGCTTATTTAATGAAAGAGTCCTATTTTCCAGCACATTTCATTTAATGACCTAATAGTGACAAGAATACTAATGACTAGCGTTGCTTTAAATATTTGGGAAGGCTACAGAATTCTGTAACTGGTGAAGTGCAGCTTCTTACAGAAAATAAAAACTTCCCTGCTCACGTGTGAGATTTAAGTAATGCTGTAAAAAATTGCTAGGCGAGTATTACATCTAATAATCACCTGATCTTGTTTTACTTCTCTAGTCACAGCACACATCGGACTTTTGGAAAGCAGCAGTGGCAGCAATTGTATGATACTCTAAACACCTGGAAACAAAATTTGAATCAAGTCAAAAACAGTCTTCTCAGTCTCTCAGACACCTAAAGCATAACCTAGAATCGTCTTGCAATAGATACATTTTATTCGAAACCTTGACCACGCGTGAATGTTTCCAAAATGTATACAATTGGTTTGAAGAAGATGAGTATTCTAAAGTGGAACAGAAAAGCAATAAAATGTGGGAAGATCTCATGTTGATTTTCTTTTATAATTAGAAATAACTGACAGTAGCAGTACCCTGTTTCTTTTGTTCTTGTTATTTATTTAGGTTTCTCGTATGAAGATTGCTGTTTGACAAGAGGTAGGAGCGGGAGGGAGGTGAGGAAAGTGATGGTGTAAGTAACTGAAGTGAGAGGTTACTGTTATCCTGGAGGAGGAGGAACATGAACCAGAAGTGAGACTTTGTAAGTCATACCCCAGTTTGAGTGGGGAAAGAGGCATTGTTTTCACAGAACCTACTACAGCAAACCTTAAGTGGCACGAGTCCATAAGAACAATTATGCTTTGCAGCAGTGTTCAAAAACAGAGCAGACTGTCAACACAGACTAGAAGATCTGGGCACTGGTTTAACACTGCGTAAAGTCTCATTACAACATCTAACTTGTGAACTTTTAACTTCAGGCCAAATTCATAACAACTTGCTTGCATTTGATTGTAGAAACAGATTAATTAGAGTTGCATCTATTTTTAAACAAACAGTGTTTAGCCTGTAGTAAGCGTGGAAGTACATGAATATACACTACATAGGAATAGCTCTACCAACTTGGCTTATAGAAGTGGTTTATCCATCTCCTACTACTGCTTTTTACTGTCTTCATATTTTCTTTTTCTTGATGAGCAAAGCCCTTCCAAATTGATGAATTTCTCAATTTCTTCTGTTTGATTTTGTACAGTGGAATTATGAGTAGGACATCTGTCCTCCTCTCCCAGCGTTCTTCCACTTTGTGCTGGAGTTACAGTCACGGGAGATGACTTCTGCTCATTCAAAGCAGTAAATCCTTCTTTCACCTGTCGGGAAAAGAAAAGAGTGATAGTTAAAAAATTCAGATACAGATGTTCAGATTGCTCCCAATGATGTGACATTAAGCACGCAGGGAAGTGTGAACAGGAAAATAAGTCAATTGGAAAGAATGTTTTATTTGAGATGCTTACTTCAGCTTGAAAATGGAAGACTTGATAAATTTGTAAACCTAACCTTCACAACAGGACTTGATGCAGAAGAGAAGGAATAAAAAAGACAAGCTTGCACTAGAATGCAGATTAGCAAAATAAATAGTTCAATTAAACAGTTTAATGTTGCAATTGACACTTCCAGTACTGTGCAATAATTTGATTAACTAAACCCAAAATCATGAGGTTTGTAGTGTTAACTCCCTCTGCTTAGCTTAGTAGGTGAGAAAACAAACATCACTAACTGAAGCAAGGTCTGTAAGCATTTGGCTTTGCATGTTAAAGACCTTTTTGTTCTCTGAATAGCTTTAATTACTGTTTCATATATATCCAAATCGAGCAACAAATCAGGGAAGCGGTTTTTTTGCTTGAACAATGAGCTTTCTCCACATAGCCCTATGCTTTGTGCCTCCTGGGGAGGCCAAGATGCTGCAGCAGCCACAAGCTCACAACAAAACGGGTTACATGGAGCCAGCACTGCAGTGGTTCTTGAGATCTCAATGTAACGTCCAGGAAGTTGCATGCTTCTATCTGACATGGATTGTGAGGTGAGGCCCTGTTGAGCCATTTTTGAACACTGGGTAACTGGCCTAACTGCTTGTAAGCCACAGTCTGAGGGCCTGTTTTCAGTTTAGCATAGATTTTTTTTTTTAAACAGACTGAAATTTAAATAGGGGTAATTTGTAGTGCATCAGTACTACATGCTGCTACATGGACTAATAATTAAAAGACTTTCCTTCTGCAGCATACAATCATTTCTTGAAGTTCAGAATACAAACAGTGCACATTATTCAATTTACCTATTGGAAAAAAAATGCTGCCTGTCAAATTAAAAATCCTCAGCATTTTCACAATGAAATACAAGTAAAGCAAGGCCTCTTACTGCCCACACTGTAAAACAGGGTAAGTTCTCTTTAGTACCACGGGGGGGACATGTATGAAAACACACTTATTTTAATTTTCTAAGTGCTGCGTTTTGGTTAAACGAGATTATCCAAGTGGAAGAAGGCATAAGTCTGTCCTGTTGTAAATGTGCAAGTTGGTCAAAACAACTAAACTGAGCAGAAAAAATAACTGCTGAGCCTCCTCTTAATCTCAGCAGCTTTTACACGTCAGTCATAAAAATGACAAATTTAAAGAAAGAAGGTATTAGAACAGCACCAGTACAAAAGGGAAGGAGTGGTCTGCAGTGTCCCAGGCTGAGACTTCATAGAGCAATTGCTTGGAAAATAATCTAAGGTCAAATCAGCAAGGCATGCTGTTCATGTCTATCTCAGCTTTTACTTAGCCTGCACATAGGGAGCTTTAATTTGGAGGTGATGTAGTAGTATAACCACCAGCAGACAGTGAAATACAGCTTTTTACTTGCTGTAAATTAGGCACTTTAGTCCACCTCTTTCCAGAATTCTCAGCTGAAAGTATAGAAGAATAAGCAGGGAAGAGCAAGAAGAGTGTTCTCATCAGTTCTTGGCTCCACCTCGATAAGAAAAAAAAGCAGGAGGCACAGTATCACCACCACATTTGGTATTCTGCAGAAAATCCACCTCATTCTCATGCTCAAGTATCGTTACATGAGGAAGGTTGAGTAATTTAATAACAGTAGTCTTAATTTCAGAGAACATGAATGCTAGTAGCACGTAGTAGTAAACGTGATTATGTTTAATAAAAATCAGCCAGTTTTGTCATGCTATGTCTGCATCCTGGTCTCAAATCTCATCCAGAAGAGACAGCCCAAACTGAGATGCTCCTCTAGAAGCTCTTCTGGAGAAGGAGGCCCATTGTAGTTGTAGATTATTCTATTGCTCTTGAATATGATTAGGATTTAACATGGATCTAAGAATGCAGTAGGAGGCATTGCTAGTATCACCCTGAACAAACCTGTCTTCCTGGAAAACAACAGCTTGCTTTTCTGTGGTCTGCTTTTACACACACATCTGGTATCATAACACTAAAACAGTAAGGCAGCTGAACACGTGGTATTCTGTCATTGCTGCATGGCATACACTGATGGGCTGTCGTTCATAGACTGGCTGAATTTCTAAGCCATTCACAGACTTTTTAAAAAAAATAAGATGTTCCTATCAAAGAAAGGAAACAATGTTTTTATACTTCTCCATGCTACTTTTTTTTTTAAAAAGAAAAATCTCTAGGTGATGATTTTTATTAAGGTACACAATGAACTACCCTCTTCTTCCCCTCCCAAACAGACTGGTTAGCATCTGTTTGATTCATACGCTGTGACTTTTTCCTGCTGCTTTCTATCAACCTTAATTGTGAAAAATGGTGCCTCGTTGCCCTTTTGATATTATTTTGGAGATTGACTCAGTCTTAAAGTATCCAGATGTGTACAGTTGTACAAATATCTGTGGAATTAGCTCACTGAGGTCTGGTCCGCAGTATTTTTAATTGACTTACATGTTCTGTGGGAAAAGAAGAATCATAAAAAGTCTTTGGCATAGCATTCCATTCTTCAGTAGGGTCTCCCTGGGGGTCCCGGTGGATACCAGAGGTATTCCAAGTGTCAGCGGCTCCGTTAGAACTGGTAGAACCTGATTGACGAAAAGGAAATGGTAACAACTGCAATTTAGTCTCCAGGCACTAATTGTCAAGTAACTAAATTTCTGGCTTACCTCTGATGTTAAAAAAAAATAATAATTTCTGTTTTAATCACTGAATCTCTGTTGCAGGCTTTTCCCTCATTTTTCTTTCAGATTCTTCTGCAAAGATGAGGTACTTTCCTATTCTAGTCAAAGATGTTTCGTGTCACTTTCACATATTAAGTTAACAATATGAAAACTGGGATTTATACAAAATATAAGCATTTTCGGTATGCTGACTGAATGTACATTTTATTAAACAGCACACCTCTAAAACTCACCTTCTGGTAATGATTACAAAGTATTTAATTACTGGCATCCTGACATAATATTGCAGGATGACTTGTAATAGGGACATTCCAAATACAAAGCTGTTTAGACAGACAACATCCTTAAAATAAGGAGTCTTTTCTTGTAAATAGATAATATTTCATGAGATCAGGCCATAGCTCTATGCTGAAGGTACAAAGCACAAACAAGTAGATAGACTGTAGCAGTGTAAGGCTGCAGTCCTGCAGTGGCTTTATGCACTGCTAGCAGCCTCCACTGAAGCCAACAGCAAACTACTTGCAGAATCAAAACAAGCATACTTCAAAATTACTTATAATGCAGTCACTGTTTTTTTTCTCAGCATAAATGCCTGTCAGTTACAGATATAATAGTAAAATCATTACTTTGCAGAAGCAAATAGGAGGAGAGTTCTCCAGGAAGGTTCTGCCCACTCTCAGTTAATTCCTCTACTCAGTGCAGTGTGGCTGCTGGAACAGAAACGTTGTATAAATAGCAGATTGCATTGTCGTTGGGCAGTAAAAGGAGCTCTCTCAAACAGGATTACTAAACCTCAGTGCTCAGTGTTTCATGTGGCTAGCTGTGCCTTGGTGAGGAAAAATAAAAGCAAACATAGGAACACATCCACGCTGATTCCACCCCTGGTTTGCCATTTGGGAAAATATTTGGAAAGAAGAACCACAGTAAGTCTTGGAAGTTGCAGTGCTGAGTGTACTGCAATGACTAATTCTTAGGTGCCCTGTCAGTAAGATTTTTCTGCTCTCCAAGAGACAGGCAAGCAGAAGTAGGGCCCTATATAAATTAGGCAGTACAATGAGAGGGAGAGGCAGATCTGGGACCCAACCCAAGATCTTCAGCTGTGAAGTTTTGCCAGAATTAAAGAGGCCTGGTGACTGTACTGGTCACTAGGTAACTCATTTGTGGAAGCACAGTCATATTCAAATCCCCACTGGCTCCTTTGGATGAACTCGTTAGACTCACTTCTTGGAATTACCCTACTTTGCATACAAGAAAAGAAGGAACAGCACACGGATTAATTTCAGATAGCACAATCTGTTCTAGCAGGAAAAAAAATCCATGTGCAACATCACATAACTGTGCTTGGATTTTCTTGAAACTGCTTCTGAAATTCATGTTACTAAGAAAAATGAAGCACTGTTTTCAGATCAGGGTTCTGCAACCACTACTATTGTCTCAGTGACAAAGGCTCATCTGAAACTGAACAAAACTGAACTGAAAAACTTGTGTCAGTGTACAGAAGTACACGAGAGCTACGGCTACGGGAACAAAACAACCTAAATTCAGAACACCAGAACCATGTTAGGAAATCAGGCTGCTGGTTTTCCAAGTCATTGCCACTGGCTGCCATGGAGGAGTCAGGGGGCAGGGTGTCCATTCTGCTCTTCATACACGCAAGCAGCAAAGATGAAACAGACACACACACCCTGTAACGCAGTCCTGGCTCTCCTGAAAAACCATCTAAGCACCCAAAGTTGCATTTTGAACAAAGTTAGGAGCTTTCAGTTCTTCACAGACTAAGAAAAGTTTCTCCAAACAAAAAGGAGAAACAAAAGGGAGACAACGCCTATACCATTTTTTATTCTGCCCAGTTACTGAAGTAGAAGAATAGATCTAAATGCTGCAGTTGATATACTTTGGAAACAGAGATTATATATATTATTTTACTTTGGCAAGAGACTACATTTAATTAGCAGCTAGTTTTTATTGTAAAGCAAATCTAAAATTGCACCCTTCCACATTTTTGTAATCATTTAGAAACGTGCAGTGAAATATTTACTTTTTTGCATAGACAAAACACTGCTCAGAAAATGACCACCAGCAACAAAAGATGGATGAGCCCACTGAGCACTCCTACCAGCCAGCTGTGTTTTGCAGTGCCTCCAATGCTATCAGCTCCTTTCACATTCAGCTTGCTCAGATGGTTCCAACTGTCCATCTGAACCAAAGATGGACAATAAAAATGGGTAAGTTTCCTCTAACCACGATTCAAGGGAATATCTGTGGGTTCATAAATCACCCTATTTTTTTTTTTTTTTATGTGAAATGAGAGCACTGAATGATTCTGAGAACCTGCTCAGTGCTTTTCAGATCACATGCAAAGCACTGATGAAATACACCCTGCATTAGAGTTACAAACACCTATAAAAATTCCATTTGAAACTGCCCTGCTTTTCTTTCACAAAGGAAAAATGAACAAAAGTTTATTTATCAAATAATTAAACCAAAACTGCTTAGCTACATTTATATGATAAATTGAGAACTCTCATAGTATTTTTCACTCTTCTTTTTACAGTGAGCTTTCTACAATTACACTGCACCGCTTAAATGCAGAAATTTTGTAATTTGGTAATTTTTAAAAAACACATTCAGTGCAATATACAACAATACACATGCAACATCTTAACAATATCCATACTTCTCTTTCTTACCTGGACCTGTTTCTTTCCTGCCAACATTCTCACCGATGTTCTGAAATGCTCTTGAGATCACCTTTTTGTTTTCCACTAGACAGGGCAGTTTCTCCTTCGAAACAGAAGGTTCTTGGGATGATGAAGTCCACGTAGCCTGACTTCTCATTTGATTTACTCTTGAACAAGAGCTGAGCTCTAGAAATTTGAAGCATACTGAGGTTTTCTCAGCTTTTTTATCTGAAGTTGAAAGATCAAAGGATGACCTTCCACTTACATTTACTACATTTCCAGATGTTCTCATGGATAAAGAGCACAACTCTTTCAGGTGACCCTCAGCAGACTTCCTTCCTGGGACTGTACTGTGCAGCGAGTCTTTCTTCTGTTTTAACACAGTGTTATTTATTGAATTGTCATTAACGTCCAGGCAACATCCATTTTTGATGGACTGTTTCTGAATTTCTTCATTAAGTTTATCGGCACCAATTCCATTTTGAACAGTTGTGCCAAAATCATCTGCCTTCACTGGAGTCACGGCTTCAGCATCCAAGGTACTTCTGTCACCTCCTGATTGCTCAGTGCTGTCATGTTCAGGTTGTTTGCCGTGCACATCTCCCACATTTATTCCTTTATTCATTTTTGGAGGGCATACACTGTAAGTACCTGTAAGAGGCATGTTATTACTATGCTCTTTTGCAGCTTGATCAGTACTTGCATTATCACGATTAATGGCTAGTAAATTTTGAGCATCCACTGCTGGAAAACCAGTATGCCTTGGTGTACTACTTCTGTTGCTGTTTGCAGCATTATCATTGTAACTTTTGACCTCAGCATCTACAAGCATCTGTTTAAAAGAAAATTTATCTCTAGGTAAACCACTCAGCTGTAACAAGCTTTTTTCTATCTTACACGATCTGTTATCCACATCGTTGTCACTGTTCAGCAAGTTACATTTCTGGTATTCTGTCTGATAATTTTCTTTAGCATAAGATAGGATGCCAAAATAGAATTCATTCACTTGATGATTACCTGCATTTCCTTCACACACGGCACTCTTCTCAGTGCAGACAGCTGCTTCACACTCTTTTTTGGATGCTTCGGTTGTAAGAACACCGCTGTTGAGTTCTATGAAACTTGACTTTTTGTCTGCCTTAGTACAAACTGATTCACCTGTAGTGTTGCACAGTTCTTGGTTACTAGAGTTCATCTCTTGAATTACATTTTTCTCACAGACAATTACTCTGTCAGTAGCATCTAAAAGAACCTTGCTTGTTTCTGGGTGATGCGCTGCTGCTGGACCAGTGCTGTCCTGTAGCTTTTGTTGTAAATTCGCACTGTTTCCCTCCAGCAGCACTCCACATGTTGTTCCTAGGCTTTCTGCTTCTTTACATTCAGTGACATGCATTTCTGAGTCCTGTCCTGGGGTAATCAAATCAGTATCTGTGCAGAGGGTATTCCTGGGAGAAGCTTCCCTCTGCTTCCCTTCCAGAGGGCTAGCTGCATTGATTCCATCCTTAGAACTGCTGTCAAGAACTTGTAACTCTGTTAGAGTAAGTGCATTTCCTAGTTAGTGATGGATCACCAACACATTAAATAGAACATTGTTATTACAGATTTCTAATTAAGATTTCTAAAATACTGACTTAAGATTACTATCAATAGATTCTTCTCTTACATTACGGTAATATTTCAATCCACATAAAAATATAGAAAAAGTTTCTTAAGATAAATATTATTTTATCATAATTTGCTAAACACTTATGAACTGTTCAAAGAGAAAATATCTTAACACTGTGCATTTTAGTTACTGATTGTATTGAAAATCTATTGAACTATTTCCCAACTAGTACTTACATTATTAAAAGGTCTTAATTGGGAAATTATAACACTTAAATCAACCTGCTTTTTGTGTATTGTGTATTTATATGAAGATTGTAAGCAGTCTACTACTATTTATCTTCTTGAAAGTGGCATGTTTAGTTAATAAGAACCACACCTGCTGAACTATGTTCATACAGCAAGGAACATACTGTAATTTGATGGCAGTGAGCCAACAAGGAATAGCTAAAGCACTTCACTATCTGAAAGGTGTTTTCTGAAAGTACACGCAGATAGTATGAGCACTGATCCTAAAAGGCAATCATTTACAGTTAATAATTGCTTAAGTTCCCACTCCATTTCTACAATGCAGCAAAGTATTGAAGACGATATGGTCTTTAGGCTTCAAAAATAGTCACTTACTAGAGTTCATCAAGCACTTTGTATAGAAAAGCATCATGATCATCCATGTGAACAAACACTGCAAGCACTCTTGGGCCTGTTTGTATTGTTTTACAGGAAAGGGGAAATCTTTCCTGGTTTTCCTTCCAAACTCCTCTGTATACATTATTCTTCCTAACCTGTGCCCACTCGGCTGGAACACAGGAGGAGGTATTTTAGCAGCTTGAGGAGCAACAATACAGAGCTTGCTTGATGTCCCAGGGCAGCCACTAGAAGCACTGTGCTTTCCTACAGAGCCTTGGGAATTTATCACAGACTCGCATTACTGACATCAAGAATTTACTGCTGTTAGAAACACATTTAATTTGGGATTCAAACATTTTCTTATGCTATACTGAAATATTTATCCCTTTATCAACAATACTACTTATCTCTTCTAGCCAGGTAATCATATTACTTTGTTCTATCTGGAACTCTTCAGTGCTTAAGGAGAAGTTCACCGCGTTTTTTACTTCAGTTTCATCTTCATGTCCAAAGTTATTATCTTTTCTTAGTATAAATGGCATACAATCATTTTCTTTCTGAATAGTCTGTATTTCACTGTCTTTTGATTGTTCTTGACCACTCTAACATAAGAAGGAAAAAGATGATACATACTTTAATAACCTACTACAGTCTCTGACTCTGAATTCATTTCACAATTCTGATGGAAACAGAAGACCGTTCTCCTGAAGCATATAAAGTTAATGTAAATGGAGGGGGGAAAAAGCTGGTTAGGACTGTAGAAGAGCAGGAAATAGATGAAGCCTTTCTAATCTCTGATCACAGTCCACAAAAAATAAATTACACAAGTCGTCAGTTTTTCAGAGGAAGGAAGATGTTTTCTATGTGCACTGACTGGGTGACGCCCTCTGCCTGCAGGTGAAATCAGTGACCTGCCCAGTAATTATATGCAGAAAACACCCACATGATCACTAATTATGCTCAAACTCACACGCACCTATTACCACTTTTTATTTGTTCCCACCTCACAAACCAGCTGGGATTTTTACTACTCAGTTTCATATGCAAATAAGACTTAGGAATTTGCTCTTTGCCCATTCCTCATCCCCTCCCAGGTGGATTTTGAATCTGAACAGTCAAATTCAACAGGAGTGGAACCCTGAAAGGTGTCTAATTCCATTATATTATGTTAAAACTATCAGCTAAATAGTGAAGAAACTACCTAAATGAACAAGCTTTCCCATAAAAAAAAAAAGGAAAAGAAGAAGCATCCATCCTTTATCTGCAGCTGAAGGCAGGAGCACGTGCTGGCTCAAATAAAAGTAGGTGGATGTGGGAGGGAGCAGGGGCACTGTTGACTCCATAAAAGGAGAAAGGAAAAGCTAAAGATACTTGGGTGGCTGCAGGTGTTAGTGAAGGAAGGAAGGTTGGGATGTGGGAGGGAGTTACAAGTGCTGTACTTGGGCAGAAGATGTTCGGGGAGGACAGAGAATATTGTAAAATGGAGGGAGGCACATACAGAACCTGGTCAAAACTGGATAATCGCGATGGTAAGGTAGGAGATGATATACAATAGAAAGCTGCAGGAAACAATTTTCTACAGGTCACATAAACATCTTTATGCTCCCAGCTTAATTTATTTGGGGAAGAGTCATGCAAATGAAGGAGAGGTCTGAAATTAGTTTTTAATTAGTTAGCTTTGCTTTCTGACTACATGCAGCCTTGGCTCTAAGCTTTCAAGATTTTCTTTTCCAGTACAAGGACTAAGAAGTTTCTTTCACGAAAGCTGTAATTCTTTCACAATCTCTTGCTCCTAAGAGCTGTTTCTTTAGACAGAAACAGAAAGAAACCCAATATAGCTTTCTTCATATGGGTACAGAATGACTGCTACGCCACAACTTACATTTCTTGTTATAGGATGAACTGTTGAACAGATCTGAAAAAACATGATGAAATATTTTTAGAAAGCGAGAAAGGTTACAATTCCTTTCCAGATCTTCAGATGGACTGAATACATCCTTCAAAAATAAGGGCTAAGACGCCTAAATTGAAATGCCTAAATATCAAAACTGTCCAACACAGATTTGATTTTATTCCCCCATTGCCATAATTTAGTAAAATATAGCTGTGCAACATGCATATACCTAAAATGACCTTTCCCCCAACTTTTTACAATACCATTAAATTCAAAACCTTTTCAAAACTGCATTCCCTGTACATGTAAAAGCACAATAATAATTTGCCACTAGATATAGCTCTGTTCTCTAACACTACACAGCTGTTTACTGTTTGTAATACTAAATAAACCAAGCATATAGCATGATAAACTAAACTGTGGTGCATAAGTCAACAGGAGTGTAATTATTCAGGTTCAAATTTGCTCTGAAGTGAGAACTCACATTATACTTATTTTTAAAAGAAGGCTTAATTTCTGTTCCACAGATGATCAGTATGAAGTTTACGTACATGCTAAACGTCATGCCCCACAAATAATCACAGAGACTTCAGACTGCACTAGGTGTAAAAATATATGCATGTGTATTTCCTTCTGGTATTCCTTCACCCAAATCACAGCCAACACTTCATCCTTCTGTGTCATCTTAGACCCTGACTCGTTACTGACACAAGATGAAGTTCCAGAATTAAGACTAATCAACATGATCTCCAGCAGCTCCTGTAATTTCCTACCAGCGTTGCTCTGGAGATTGGCCTAACTTGTCTAAGTTTGAAATCTTATACAGTGGTGTGGCAATCCACTGTAAAATAGTTAAAGATATGTATTTAGATGTCATCTCAGATTTTTTCTCCAGTTCATAACCATATCTTTTAAGCATATCTACTTTCAAACACATAGGATGATCTCAGGAAGCACAAGTACAGCCAATCACAGAACTCTGATGGCACGTTTTGATTCTGCATCCTAAATATAAATTGTATTTTAATTCAAAGAAACTGTGATTTTTCAAAGTTACACAATTCGCATTCTCCAGAGTATCTTGGAGAATTCATGCAGATTCTGCATGATGAAGATGGTGTCAAGTTTAATTTCCACAGCATTATTAAGTGCATCCTAGACGTGTGTGTAGTCATGTGCGTGTACGTTGGAATGAGCGTGGGAAGAAATTCACTTAATTTCTTCTAAATTCTAAGGTCGTTTCAGTTTGTCATTTTACATTTTATCTACTCCTCAAAAGACATGTAGTTACCTACTGTCTCCCTAACACTGAAAATCTGTAAAGGTGCAAAATGACTTCTTCCTCCTTTGAAGGATGAACCATTATCCAAGTGGAAAACTGAATGGAACAATGATGTAGACAAAACACTGCCAAATAACAGAATATACTCCATACACAAGGAATTCTTCTCTTACAGCTTGTAACCTTGTTTTTTCCATCTTATAAAAGACTGGAATATAAATCTGCAATCCAGTTTAAGTAAGGGGTAACACTTATCTACAGTGCTGCGTGCTGCTCCTTTTGCTTCCAAACACCACCTCCACATGCTTAACCACTTAATGACTTTTCATACATATGCTGAATATGGAGCTGAGCGTGGACTTGGCACACCCAGCAATGCAAGCTTAAAATGGGATCCTGGATCACTGACTACATCAGAGAAAATTTTAGGCTTCAGTATATCAAAGGAAGATCGCTGAAAGCCAGACTAGGAAAAACTATCATGTCTCTCCTTCTCTAAAGTGATTTATAAGAAGTGCAAAGTACTGCAGCCATGAGAGGCACTTGCCCACCTGCAGATTTTCTACTTGCTCAGAACGCTGGTTTCCCTGAGGAGGATAGCAATCATCAGGATGTCCCCAGACCTCTTTAAGGGTATTTAGCTCATTTCTAATGGTATCTCTCTCTCTTCTCAAATCTTCCTCCTACAATAAAGCACAGCACACAAACACAGACCCCTTATTGCATGTTCAAATACAAAAACACTATTTATCAACAGCCTAGCAAATTAATGCATTCCCTTAGAAGAAAGTAGAGATAATAAGGAATTGTGTACAAAAGACAACTCAAGCTTTTCATTCACACCAGGATTTTAATCCCATTCTAATACCACACAGACTATCTTTTTTTATTAACTGGCTCGAGACTGTTATTTGTAGCTTTTCTCCCTTTTCCTGTTTAAGAATAAACATGTTAGTAAATATTCATTCTCTACCCCATTTTCAAGGAACCTTAACCATCAAGGATTTTCCTGGCACTACTTCTGTAATAGCCTCAAGAAACCAACATTCTTCAGTGAGTACACAATAATTACATTTTTCTATTTACAATGAAAAATGATTGCAAGACAAATTGTAAAAACAAAAACAAGCAAGCAAACAGTGTAATTTTTCAGAGATACTCTGATTTGATTTACAACTATTTTCAAAGCATTGTGTAATATTAATGCTATCCATGATTATGCTGTTAAGAAATTAAAAGTCCAAATTTAGCCACAGCAGAAAAATGGCTGCTGGAGTGGGGAGCATCAGACACAAAGACAGACGTTATCTTCTAAAAGGAAGGTGCTAACATTCCTAAGAAGCAAACGTGGAATTCCCATGTCTGCACAGGATATTATGGCACAAGATACTGCTAGAAATCAGGGGTATCAAATATCTCAGAGCAGACAGCATCAGAACAACGCACTTATTTTGTATCTCATGGTTGCAGTGATCTTCACAGTGGCAAAAAAAGTCAAGGAATTAGGACAACAGGATTACAACTTCCACACAGACTGCCTGTGTCAGTCTATCAGCCTCAAAACCTTTCTAGCAGTAGATGCAGAAGAAATAATTAGCAATTACCAAAGTATTCTTTACAAAATAATTAAGAAGTCGTAAGAATGGCAAATACTGCAGATAAAACACTGTTTAGATGTATGCAGAGATGAACACAGTTATCTCAGCTAATTGCCTTCAGTTGAATTGTTCTGGTCAAAGGTGGATTTCTGCTCCAATGCAAGCCTTCAGCAGCTCTACCTGATTCAGTTTGAGGTCGCTTCCCCACCACCCACCTTTGGAAATACGGCCTTGGTACCTTCCAGGTACCCCACCTAGGGTAGTTGTGTTTGGTTTTTTCCACCCCCCAAAGCACGTAACAGTTGACTACTCATTTCTCAAGATTTCTTCAGGGTAAAAGAGTGCAGCCTAGAAGTCCTGGTATTCCCTTAGTAAGTTCTGTATAAAACTGCTCTGAAAAATACATGAAATTACATCAGTTTCCATGTCTTGGTGTAATTCTGGAATATTTTAAAGCACCAGAGACAAGACAACACCTAATGCCCTGGGGCTCTTGCTTTATAGAACTGCACTGACCTTTTGAAGCATAGAATTCAACATTTCTCCTAAATCTACCTTTTAAAAATATTTCTAGATGAGTCTGCATTACTGGAAAATAAATGGGTTGTTTTTATTGTAGTATTTCTGCAATATTTTCTTGGTTTTTAGGAATTGTCTGAAATGCTTGATGACTATTCCAAAGCCCTTTTAATACTATAACATTTAATTTAACAAACCTACATCTTTTTTCCAAATTCTCAGTGCTTTCTCATGCTCATTCTGAAGATTAAGGAACTTTTCTTCATTTTCCTTTGCCTTCTTCCTTTGCAGCTCATTATCTCTTTCAAGTGTCTGCAATAAAATTAATTATCCAAAAAATAATCAATACCACATTAATGAATTTTGATGTGTTTTATGTTGCTTGGACCTTTGCTTCTAACATGCTGAAAGTGCCATACAGATCAGTGATAATGTGCTATCTCAACAATAATTTTCATAAATTAACAGAAAGGTGCTTATAGTTTAGCTAACAGGAAACAGGGGGAGGTTATGAAAAAAGAAATGGCTATAAAAGGGTATAAAAACACTTGCCATTATTCAGTTTCACTGCATAAGTTTTAATGTGCAGAAAAAAGTAATATAAAGTCCAGAGATGAGAGATGTGAAATGTAGCACAATCTAGAGCTTAAAAAAAGTACTTAAAGAAAAAGCTACTCTGGAGCAAAACAGAAAAAGTTGATTTTCCAACCAGTTTTTCTATGCTAAATTGTTTATTAAGCTATCCTATAAGCTGCATAAACTTCACATTCTAAAACACGTTGGAACATGAAGTATTTACTATGTCTGATTATCCTTTAATTAATTTTACACAACCAAAACAGAATAAGAATGCATTAAAATAATAGTACAGGTTATGGTTTAGGATTTTATACCATCTTAATTCTACTGGCAACATTTTTTTAGTTAACTCTTTGAACTTTACTGTGCCAAATTAATGCACTTTTATATATCAACATTAACTTCTGGGACACCTCAGATACTGTTGGAATTTATTGTATCACATTTTTACAGCAAACAATACAGAAGATAGAGGAGTTACTGCATCCATTGCCTATTACAGACAACAAGTATATTTGATAATGTAAACATACCTTTAATGCATGTAGCTATATGACCAGCTTTGTATTTATGACTCTGCTGAGCCTCTTTGGAAATCCACAAGAAAAATGTTGAGGCATTGCTCCAAAGCAGTGCCTTCCTACTTAATCTTTGAACTAGAAGCAAGTCTACTTCTCAATTCACCTAACAACCATTTTTTTAATACCTATTTTAATTTATCCGTACCACTAATAACAATGCATTTCAAAGGTGTGACACTAGGAAAGCTCAGACTACCTTGCACTTTTATACACGTGCAAAAAGTTGTTCATAAGTATATAATGATTTTCTCCAACATATTATGCAATTAAAAAGATGAAAAAATTCATCAACACGTTGACTGTATAATTAATAAATAATAAATATCTTGTTCAATGTCTTTCACACAGTCCTACAAAGCAGTAGTTCCATAAGGCCCTTTTTCTTCCTCTCTAACTAAAGGTTTCTTTAGTCCTTGGAGATAAATGCATCTCAAATTCAGCCTCCTCTGAAGTGGAATGTTTTATAGCATAGCTCTCCAGGCAAAGCGAGCAGCAGATTAGAGTACAAACACGACTGCAGGAAGAGGAGTTAGCTGTCCAACCAAAGCTTTCCTTGAAAAATCTCCACTCCCAAACTCCCAAAGCAAACCTTAGCTTTGTCCATTTAGTGCAAGAGACCATCATGCAATAAGCCTACTGGGCCCTCTCAGTTTGACAGCCTTTGCTTACCAAAACACTCGAAATAACAACCATTTAAAAACAAATTGTCTCAAATACCTTCAACTGTGCTTTGTCATGATTAAAACTTTAGTAAAGCCAATAATATGAAAAAGGAACTGGAGAACTCTGAAGAATCACAATGAACTAGTGTGACTATTGCCCAGAATGAGAAGTATCTCCTCTTGGTTTTACAGCACTCTGAGAGCAAAGAAATTTAAATCGTGAAGATTTAGTACTCTAAATTGACTAAATGCAGCCATCTAGACATCTGAAGTGGGTGGCTTCTCTTCCACTCACTAGTTTTATCCAATACTGCACAAAAGGTTTTACCTAGTTTCTAATGGAAAACAAACTCATATCTAACCTTGCTTGTTCAGTAAAAAAGCAACATTCGTATATTCATACTGTGGCAGAAGGCAAACTGCTTAGATTCATACAAAGAAACAAAGGAACAAAAGTATGCATGCACACAAAGTTTAATTTGAGACTAACCAAGATACAAGTTCAAAACCTCTGCCTTAACAGCCCAGCAAAGAATGGTTACAGTTACATATGGATAAACACAGTGCATAATTATTAATAGTCCCATTAAGGACCTCTGCATGGCAGATATGATCAGAAAAGATAATGACCTTCATCTTCAGTGCACTGGGCCAATCCAACTGCAAAAGTAATACAGAATACAAACTGTTATTAATCCCTTTTTCACAGCCTCAAAGAGAAACTGAAGACGCTTCAACTCAGCGCTCTCCAACATGTCTACTTAGCACCTGTGACATAGACACAGCAGACAACACCACAAGAAATGGCTAAAGACACAACCATTTTTAGGCTCTTTGCTCTGGCTCCAAAAATCTGAAATCTGAAGTATTCTTCGGAAATGAGAAGTTTACAACTACGTAAAAATTAATTGTAAGAAACAAGTCATAGAATCATTTTATTTCAGAATACTCAAAAGCAACCTTAGAACTGTTCTGGTTTTACCTTCCAGAAATGGGTGATCATAATGGCAACCATAATTTACTTTAGGGGGAAAACTAAATGAGGGAAACCATAGACTGCGTTACAAGGTTCACGCTGACAGTTAAGGAGCTGAGGGAGCAATGGAAGTGAGGTCAAAAGTTCTGAGAAGCATACAGATGTCTTTAACAGCCCTAGACTTAAAAAAATAGCTAACAGATAGAAGCAGCTTGTCTAATCAAAGAAAATCTGACCTGATATTCTTCTCTCAGTGCATTTAATTCACTTTCCATTTTAACATTCATTTGAGTTACTTGCTGAAGCTGCTTCTGCACACGTTGTAGAGAGCTGAGAATTTCCTTGTGAACAAATAAGTCAGGATACATTGAATAACACTTTGTTGCTCAAGTTTAAACAGAAACTAATTTACACCTTTGAGATTAGCATATTTATTTTTATTCTGCCAGTGGTATATAAAATATTGTATATTAGAACCTATATCTTATCACAACCAACATCAACACTTGGAAAGTAATCACAACTTCTGAGCTCTTCCAGCCTTCTTTCCAGGAGGAAATATTCTTTCCATTGAAGATTAATTTATACTTAGTTGCATTTCACATCTAGAAAACTGAACCCAGAATCACCTGACATGTCAGCAGCAGAGCTGGTTTTGTCTTTTGAATCCAGTCCAGCATCCACTGAACTAAACAAGATTGCTTCTCTACATACAGTTCAGTGTAAATCAGCCTATAATTTAGATAATATATTCAGTCCAATAGCCACTGAAACCAACATATTCAGTTAGTCCAGACAGTGATTTCATAGCTCGCTATAATACAAAAATCTGGGTGTTCCAACCCAAGTTCTTGGAGAAAAACATGAAATTAATCTCTGTATTAGAGCTACCCCCACCTCCAATTTACACAAAGCCAGACACATTAAAACAATCCTAGCAATTCACACAGAATACAGCAGAGAAATACAGGCAATACCAGTCCTTCTCTTTGATAACACCATATGAATGAAAATGACCATATGAATTTGGCTACAAACACCTCCACAGCAATGCTTTTAGAGCATTCAGAGCTGTGGGAGAAATGATGACAGAGTTTATATCTAGTTTTGTTGTTGGCTTTTTTTTTTTTCTCTACGTTTATTGGTATGAATTTTTTAAAAGAGGATTCAAAATGCAAATCAAACTTTTACACATTATCCTTTATCCCCTATCCTTTCCATACGCTCAGTGAGCATACAAGCATGCTGCTACTTTTGGCCCTTCCTCAGGAGGATGATCCACACTTTCCCAAAATGTTGGTTTCATGAACTGCAGAATGAAAAAATATCTGCAAACGCAATGCATTATGGTAATTATTACAGGGAATACAATTTTCATGCTACAACTGTGCTATTTGATTCCATGTACCTGGTTTGAATATTAGGATTTGCTCAGGAACTTACCAAATAGGAACTAAGTTTGTGACAGAGGAACCTTAACACCGATCAGCTTTGGACAGGCATAGTTTTATAATTTAAACACTTATGCTCTGTATGAATTCTACCTGGTTGCAATATCAACAGTATCATATTAAACTGTTGGCAACCAGAAAGCACCGTGGCAAGAATATCATTCAAACTTTAATGCTTATTTGTTCTCAAGAGTTATGTTAACAACTATTTTCACAGGTATACCAGATGCCTCCAGCCTGAACTCAAAGATAGAAGTTGACTTGAAACAAGGCATCAACCTAGTTAATACTGCTAGCTTAGCTTCTAAACATTACAATATCCCACTTACACACTTTGCAGACTCGTTTTATTAATAACACAAGTGATTTTATTTGCTAAGATCACTTAAGAATTTTAAATATTTATTTAACACATTTTCTTAATGATCTTAAATAGCAAAGTTACATTAATTACTCACTAGCTTCTCTTCTTTAATGTAAGCGTTTTCTTCTTGAACTCTTTTACTGATTGCTGCCTCCTTAAAAAAGAAAAAAAAAAAGGAAAAAGGGAGCAAAGTGTTACTGAAGGCATTCAAAATTACTGGTTTGGGTTATTTTAGTAATATTGCACAAATAGGATACTTTGAATCCTCATGAGACTACTTTAAAATGTAAAAGCTATTTACATATTTAAATGTCTCTTTTTAAACTCTAAAATTGCACTTCCATTCCTGTTCAGATGAATAACAGAACATATTAACCAAAATTTTAATGCGTTTAAGTTCCAGAATACCATTCTGATTTTTTGTTGCAGTTCTTGAAACTGTTTTTCCTTTGCTGCAAGATTGATGTTTTCTTCTCCCACCCTGTTCTGAGATGTGACCTTGGACCTTATCAAGTCTGCAGTTACTTTCTTCAGTTCCTTAACACAGGAAACACATATAAATAGTTCATCCAGGATAGGCATTGCAATTCAAAACAAAGACAAATCTTTTAAACTATCCTGAGTCATGCCCTACTTTTAAATAATGTATGGAAGCAGCTAAATAAATTAAATTGAGGAACCGAAATTTCTGGGATTGACTTGTTAAGCTTTAAACTTGCCAAATGTGGCTGAAAGTTTATATTAATTGGTAAAATGTTACTAGACTAATATTTTGCTTTCATTGTTTGAAGTACACACGATACTTCCATATCTGATATTTTCTCCTCCTGGAGGCGAGCACCGGGTTGATACTGGTAAGGCCTCTTACTCAACAGGAATGAAGTACATACTGAATTACTGGGTACGTTCCTTGGATGCAGGAGGGAAAAAAGAGAAACACTGACTACCTGGTAAAAGCAGAAACTGGCTATAAATCTGAAGGATCTTTGGTTTTTCCTGAAACATTAATTATTTAATCTCAGGAGAATTCCAAATTAATTTTATATTAGAAGCTTCTACAACATGATTTTCCATCTAAAACATGCCTTTTATTATAGTCTTTATAATCTCTTAAATATCCTGCTTCTTTTTTCCTTTTCTTTTTTCCCCTCTGGTGGGGCAGTATCTGTTTTCTAACCAGTTTATTCCAAGCTCCTAGCGCAGCAAATAAACAGCAAGCGCTTTGATCTCATTAAATTACAACTCATAGTTCCTGGAGCCATAAATATTGTGCCCTATTCTCCCCCACCCCTCCCATTCTGCTACAAGGTAGTCTGTTTAATATCGCTCTCTCCTTGAGCGCTCTGACGTTTACTCAGACAAATAGCAGAGGTTATGAATGCTGTTCACAGATAGTATCAAGAATTCTTCATGATGCCATAGTGGTGAACCACGCATTCAGAATGGTAATAGTTTTATCTAACTACTAAGTTTGGTCTGTTTAACTTTTCTTCGCAAAACTGGAATTCCATCTTATCACAGACCAATGGGTTTAACTGTTCTGGACAAAATCAAATAACAGTACAAAAGAAAAGGGAAGATTATGTAGCTGAAATTTACAAATACAAAGTTATGGAAAACACAAGCATAGATACCACTTCTAAATAAATCATTTTGTTTCCTTGAGGCTTTATTTCTCGTGTATTTGAGCCATAAATATATCTAAGATGATCTAGCAAGGACTAAGTGTAATTGCAGAGTCAATTATAAAATTCAAAGAGGACAGTGCCTTACAACTGCAATATTCTGTAAGCTAGGAAGGCTTTTTCCACCTTTGCAAAAAGAAAAAAGCCAAAGAAACATCTTTTAATTGCACTGTTCTTACTACAATAGAGTAGTAAGGAGAGCTCCTACGTTTAAGAGGCAGGAGGTGCAAGCAGTTTTAGCTTTGTAAAACAGAAACGCACCACGCCATTCTTTTACAAAGAACCAAATTCATGGTACTCAGGTCACGTGTGTGCAGGTGCATAAGTCTGCTATGGATCTGAGATATGCTTTGCTAAATTCAAAGCATATCGTGTGGTGAATTGCCACTTATTGTGTGACAGGGAAGAAAAGCCACACTAAGTAAGTCATGCTGTTGTGGGAAAGATAACATGTAGCAGGTGGATGCACGTAATCCATCTGGAACAAAGCCCACATCTGCTAATCTGACAAAGCTGTGAGCAGGAAGACAAACCAAAAAAATCCCACGGAGAGAACCCACACAAACCAGGTCACCACAAATAATGGGAAGGTTTACCACAGCCAGTGGCAGCATAAGCTACATAGCTGTAGAAATAATTTCTATGCATGCATACGTATGCATATTTTCTTATGTTCTGAAAGTAAAAAAAATTCAGCCGCCCTTGCTTCCTTTTCTAGCAGCTTTCTGCCACTAATACAATCACTAGAAATGTTAGAGCTCTATAAATTGAGTCTGGAAAATAATTCTATCAGTATCAGTTTCAACAAAAGAAAAATAAGGCTTGAAATCTATTCCTTCAGTGTGTTGCTAGCAACCAACACCCAGGCACATGGTTTCAAGCCAGCTTAAAAGTAAAGAGTATCACAAAGGAAGCAGTCCTGTTCTTTAAGTGTATTTTTCTTTCCTTTTGCTAGTTGATCTAAGCCATAACTTGCTGCTTTTATTTATTTTGATACAATTCTATTTGATCAATACAAAATTTCCATTCTACTCTTCCTCAGGGCCACACAAACGTATGTCAGCATGACGTGGTAGTACAGCACTGGAAAGGGAGCCAGCACAGCCTTATGTAACTGCTTCCCAAGACAGCAATCATACCTCATGCAAACTGAAAGTTTTCCCCAAGCAACAGCCACATCTTACTGCACTCTCAAATCAGTGCCATCAGCTAATTTGGTCATCTCTCAGGCCTTAAGCAGCACAGCTCTTTTTCAAAGATTTGTTTCATTCTATTGCTTTTAACGGTCAGATTTCAATGCAAGCACTTTCACAACACTTGAAAAAAATCCCCCTATATTGACTATGTGTTTAAATTCAAAACCAAATGTTGCTGAAAAGGAAACTAAGCCAAGCTATCTATCAGAACCGAACTGCTAAGCAGACAATGCAAAGAGCAAGTACCACCTCTCCAAATACCTCTTTCCACAAATTCCAGAAATTCTTGTGTAGAATGGACATCAATTTAAATCAGGTTTTACTGTTCTATGTATGACTAAACAGCTCCATCATGTCATTTCACTAACCTTGGAGATTAGTTTACTGTTTATCCATAAATTTTGACTAGAATTCACAAGCTTCGTATTCCCATTAAGAACAAGTGTAAGAGGTCATTGTAGTCTGAGTTAAAACAAAGGTTGAGGTAAGAATTAGCAGCTCACAGGCAGTAAGGTCTGTTAGAGGCCTGTCAGGTATCCAACACAGATAAACCAGTTCCATAAGATATCACAACTTGCACTGCAGATTTAAAGACTACTTTCAGCCTTGTAGCAACCAAAGGTAGCCTGGCAATCCCTCTTCCAAACTATTCTCAATACCAGAGTTTCCTCAGTGCTCTGGATCTGTTACAAGTCCCTTCAGCTCCACAACTGATACATTACCCAATAAGGGAAAACACCTGACCGCAGTCTCTCAAAATGGTTACACTAAGCAAAAGGTAACTGCAGTGAAACAAAGCCAGCTCAGAGCAACTCTTTGTGAGTCGTGAACTATTTTTCTAGTTGCTTGTGCACTGACCCAAGAGATGAGCCCACCACTTTTCTAAACAGAAGCTGTGCTGAACTTAGTGTTCTTACAGGTACACATCAGCCATGCTCATTCATACTACTTAACTTTCCATAGATGTTCTACAAGCTGCAACTTAAAAACTGTCAGAATAAGAAATACTGAAGAGTGGGATGCAATTTTAACCGTATTGTTTGATTTAAAATCTATTTTCACAGAAATTCTGCTTTTTCAGAAAAAAGGCATGTCATCCTTCTGTATACTATGTACAACTTCTATTCACAAAACTTTATTTACAGTGAGCAAGGCAAAGACGTTTTCCCAATGATTAAGTTTCAGGCTCCTTCTTTTGCTTACCTAGCAGTATTTCATTATAAATTTATCACCCAAGAGCTTAAGAGTCAGAAGTGTGACTTCAAAAAAAAAAAAAATGGATCAAGCAAAATGTTTGGTAACTAAAATACACAAAACATCATTAGTTTATCTCACACACCTCTGTTACTCACAAATGTAATTACATGACATTTTCCTTAACATTATTTATTTTCTTACCTCTCCAATTACTTACCCTCGGGAGACTTCTAAGCAATTAATTATTCTTGGTTTCTTAACTAAAAGCAACAAATCCAATTGGCTGTAATGCTTAAAAGTTTCTAAAGCCTCCTGGAATACTGACATTTACAATACACGTTTCATATAGATTATCCTCAGTGCTTTTTCCTCTGCTCTTCCACCCACCAAATTTGTCAAAATATCTAGTAAATAACAGTGAATAAACTGTTTGAGAAGGTGTGAATGAAACAAATGAAAATGAAGCTTAGTAGTAGATCAAGAAGCTAAAAATAACCATGCATTGGCAAAGCAAGGGATAAACCAAACTTCCTGGATTTTTAGGTGGCTCTGTGTGGAGCGACTCAATCCTCACAGGTCTTTTCCACACTGGGATGTTCTACAAATTGTTCCTTTTCTGAAATCCTCACAGAATCAAAAAAAAAAAAAAAAAAAAAAAAGCAGACAGGAAAGAGAGAATATGAAAACAATGAGGTACAGAGGATACGGTGTTTACAGAATAGGATTTTGTCTTCAGATGATCTTCCACCTTTTCTCACAGCAGCATTTAAACAACAGCTTAAAGGGAAAAGATAACTTTATTCTTCCTCCTTTTATATAACTCAAACAGAACCTAGCAAATACTAGCTCCAGAATAGAGGAGGGGCAGGAAAACGCTCAACAGCCAGGCAATTTTGTCCATAGCATCCCTCTGACCTGACTCAGTCACCCTGCCTCAGAACTCTCACTTTTGACAGAGATTCAGTTAGCTGTATAATTGTATGTTCAAGATAACAGCTTGCTTCTATGGCATCATGTTATATCTGCCTTTAACTACACTGAAGAGACTATTGTTACCCTTCTGTATCAGATGGGAGATGCAGTGACTACACAGTGCAGGAAGAAGAAAGATGGACAACAATTAACAAGAAACAAGTAGGCCGCTATAGAGGTGAATAAAAATCCATCAGATGCATCAGTCATCTGAAGCATCTGTGTTTAAGATGGGAAACCAAGACAAATTTAACCATTAATGATAGAATGAAGAACAATTCTACACTGCTTGTACACTACTTCTATTAATACTAAAGCAGCTTGATGAAGTCCAGAAGTCCACCTACACACTATGAAATGAGCACTGTACTTACTTCCTTCAGATTACTTATTTCAGTCTCTTGTCTTTTGTTCACTGATGTTAGTTTCTTATTGAGCTGTATTGCTTCCTGTACTTTAAACAAAAGTTGAAATGTTTATATATACACTTCCACATTTAAAGTATTATTTGATTTATACCTGTTATGTATGTGTGCATAATGCCTGAAACTGTTAAACAACTTCTTGGAAAGCAGACTAGGATGCAAAATAGAACTCAAGGAATCTGTATATATACTATGATCATACATGAAAGGATTAGAGCAGACAGCACCAATTGTTCTATACCTCAAATAATCATTTTGATTGTAATTTGTAAATATAATTTCATTCTTACTGTCATTCAGTGTCACTTTATTCAAACTACTTCTCTGTTAACAAAACATTAGCAAAAGAAAATACTTCAAAAAATAATAAATGTCTTCTAGTACAACTTAAGCAAAATTTGTAAGATTTCCAACAAGGGTCATGTATTCACACTATCTTTAAAGTGCTAATAATGGCAATAAAGTGAATTTATTACACATTGCAGCATTTTGCATGCAAGTGAAACATCAGTTTTCACTTTCTTACATTCCTACATGCTGTTTTCATATAGCAAATAAAGACCAAACAGTTTATAAATGTAAACAATTTGCATAATGAACTCACACACTTTGTGCATAACTTTTTCCCTGACTGCAGTTTCTTGCTCAGAATTTACAATTTGCCTACATGCCTACTGCAGGTCTCATATCCCACAATGCAAATTGAATTCCCACTGCAGTAAGACACACTATAGTTAAACAGGTGAATAGACTGGCTTCTTGAACAGAGGGATCATTTTGCAGTTACTGATAAATATAAGAAATATGGCAAAATCTGTAGTTAAAAGAAAAAAAACCACTACAGGTGTTATTTTTCCAATAAACTGCAAAAAGACTATTCTGTATCTGGCATGAAATAGAAAAGCTTTGCCCAGTGTAAATAAAATGAAAGCACAGCATTGGTTTTTTGTTGTTGTTTTTTTTTTTTGTTTTTTTTTTTTTTGTTGTTTTTTTTTTTTTTTTTTTAAAGTGGTTTAATATTTGACAGTCAAAACAAATAAAAAGCAATAGAAATGTAACTTGAATTATTATAGAACCCCAAATACCCTTAAAACGTTACCTATTGAACCAGACTCGATCTGAAAAACTATGTGGTTTTATTTAGAAAAAAAACTTTCAAGTTTGGGGTTTTTTTTTCTTATGCTTGTTTTTCAGTTACACAACCCGTCCTCCCTTTCCTTAGAAAAGAGTTTTCTTAATGGATGGACACTGTAGGTATGCAAAGCAATACATACACACATTTCACAAGTTCTACACAAATTCCTATGCAGACACTGCAGTGCATTACTTCACGCAAAACACAGATTTCCCTCTAATTATTAGGTACCAAACATCATATAAATCTGATATATTGAGTAATAAAAATATCAGTTTTATGTCTTAAGGATGGCAAAATATATTTATACTAAGAAGGGCACGTGGAATAGTATTTTTGTTTTTTAGTAGGTTCACAAATAATTTTGGGATGTTTTGACATAAGAGTGGGGTTAACGAACACATTCATAAAGCTTTAAAGCCACGTAGCCACAATAACTACATGGAGTTATTCATCCATTCTATTTACTGAATTATTTTTAAATTTCAATATTTCTACATATTAAATATTTTATATGTATTTACATAACTAAAAATCACATTTCATTAATGCCTTCTGTCCATTTCCCAACATTAACACTCATCCCAACCAGATTTCTTTTCTATTACTTGCCAATTCCTTTACTTTCATCTCCTCCTTTGTGCTGGTACAATTGCTTATGTCTGCTGAACAGCAACAGGAAGCTGACCCACATTAAGTCTAAAGATTTTTTGGAATGAGCAGGTCTGCTACTGGATGATTTTGAACAGAAATCAGTTCTTCACATATGGTGACACACACAGCTGAAGCAGAAAAGAGCAGAAGTACAGGGCCTGTGCTGCTTTACCTGACACTGTCACAGAAACAACATAGAAGCAACTGAAATGTTGATGCTTGGCACATCATACGTACTATTTTTTGAATGTAGTCACATCTCCAACTCAGTGTTGTCAAAAATAAAGAATACTGGAGTACATTTAAAACATACATACCACTGTGCTCTAATTTTCCATGAACACCTTTAACGATTCCAAACTGACATGCAATAGTAGCATAACACCTCTCAAGTTCATTCAGTTTCTTATGCTGCTCTTCTCTCGCTGTTAAGTGCATCTGTAATTTCTGCTCCTGTTAGAAACAAAGGAAGCACCTGCTGACTGACACCATCTTGCATGTATAAATCAGCACTCAAAATGCTTCTCAAAATGGCATAAACAAAATCATTCTCAGGGTATCTCAGTTGTGTACTTCATATCTGATTACCAACTCCCACTTCCAGACTGGGTTTCAATACATTTTCCTACATTCTCCCTTTTATTCAGGAGAACTTTCTCATAAATGCATGCAGGATTGCATTAACTGTTTTCAAAAGCTGATTTCAAGTTTTCCTTTGTTACACAGCTTACTCTAAACACACTATTCTACCTGTCACTGTACTGCAAACACAGCCTAGCACGCTAATAGTGCTTCCACCTGCCTGTGGTTCATACCTGTCCTCCTGCACTACCACTCAGTGCAGCACTGCATACTCTTATTCCCTTCATGTAGCACGTCCCTTGAATTCAACACTGTCCAAACCCCACACCAGCCAAAGTGGCACTATTAAGCAAATGATATTCAGATGTCTTTTCTTTTTATAAAGGCACCAGTACAGTAGCATCAGCCTATTATGGACCTAAACACTTTCACTGCATCATGACTTAAGTACACAAAGGAAAACTGTTTTGAGCTACATGGTGGTACAAATACAAACTCAAACAGAAGTCCTGTTTCTCCAAGACAACGTCAATCAAAGAACAGGGCCATGAAGGAGCTTGAGCACTTGACACAAGGAAAGGCTGACCGAGCTGGGACTGGTCAGCTTGGAGACTCTCACACAGTTGAAGCTGTACAAATATCTTGGAAGGATGAGAATAAGAAAAATGAGAGACTCTCCTCAGCAGTGCCCAGTGGTCAGGCATTAAAACACACTGCACAGACAGGCTGTGGTTTCCACCTGGGGAAGATACTCAAAACCCACCTGGACACAGCCCTGAGTAATCTGCTCTAAATGCTTTGAGCAGGGAGTGAGGTGCAGAAGTGCCCACCAGCCTCATGATCATAATTAGAAAAGGGAGAGCGCAAGGACAGTCTATTTCTAATCCACAGCAGAGCAACACAGCAATGAAAATGAATTGGGCCAAATTCATTCCAGTGGGTAAATTCAGGTTACACAAAGATGGATCCGGCCCAGGCTATTCAGCTTCTGTAAGGCTTTCTTCCCTTATAGTAACAAATGCAATACATGTCCAAGCATCAGAGGATAATAAAAGCTCACAGTAATCAAAAGAAATGACCAACATAAGGCTAGCAAAACAGGATATACAATACAAATTCCTCATGTTTTATAAGGTATGAAATTAAACACACCACAGCAAATAGAAAGTCATAATGGAAGCACTGGTAAAGAAACACCACCACTTACAGAATCGCTGTGCAAAATGTAGGCTGTGAATTTTCATATGCTTCCTTTTTTTCTTAATAAGCAAAAATTTTTGAAAAGCTGTGCTTAACTAACACTAGGATGCAGGCTTCACAGAAGTAAAAAGAAAAAGATCATTTGTGTTTCTCCTGATAATTCAGATGTATTTACTCTAAGCAAGTGATGAATAAGGGAGCCTAATCAAAATGAAACTTGAACAACTTCTGGCAAAATGTGAGGTTTTGAACTTTCGTATGAATGTTCTTAACGCTCTTCCAATTTCTTTCTTAAGTCAAAAAGACAGCATTATGCCCTCCTCCTCACCAGAGAAGTACAAATATGCCTTATTATTTCCCCAGTGTCTCTCATAAGAAAAGGAAGTGGCCTGCTACATCCTCAAAAAAGTTCTATTAAGAGTTTACCACTGGTCTAAAAATGATTTTTGATGGCAAGCTGCTCTCCAGCCTCAGAGCACAAATAAAAGCATTTTTGTTTACCTGTGTTCATGGATCTTCTCATTAAGGCGAAAAGATCTTAAAGTCTTCCATGGACAAAAATAATTAAGAGACAATAAAGAAACACTGGGAGACTCCACAGGATAGGGAGGATCTGACCTGGAGCTGGATTAAGACCCACAGAATCTTGGTTCTCCTTCCTAAAGTGTGATATTGCAAGAACAGGAATTATTGTCCTGGTTTCCACCAGTAATAAAGATAAGCTGAGATGGGGAGTGGAACTGATTTTGGCCATATGGTTTGTTGAGGAACAATCACTTCTTGGTAGAACTGGACCAGAGAAATAGTTCAGGGTCAGGTAGGTGACTGGAGGAAGACAGAGGGAATTGCTCCTATCTCAAAAATATTCTGGAAATTGAGTCACTGGTCAGTGTTATTCAGTGAATCAGAAGGTGGTAACTGGGGGGTGAAAGTGTCAGAGGAACAAAGGAGTTGTTATGAAATGGAGACATAAGGCAAGAACATAAAATTCTGCAGAGAACTACTGCCTGTAAAACTCCCAAGCAGGAAAACGTTTCCACAGCAATTCCTCTGCTTCACAGTGCTTTTCAACTTCGACTCACTATCTTCAGTTTTTGCTGTACCACTTCCTCCACACTATTTTTAAACAACATAATGTAATTACAGGCAGATTCCTAACTGTGGAAAGGAATTAAATGTATCTTTAAGTTGGTTTGTTTTTAATAATCTAGGATAAGTACATTATATATTTTAATTCATTTTCATTCATGTAGGATTTATTTTTCGTTGGTATCTACCTCTGTATTACAGGTGGCAGGGATGCTCTCAGGAAATACCTATAATGTGAAGTTGTTAGAAATTCCCAGATGTACTTTGGCTCAAGAGCACTCAAATGGTTCCTGGGCACAGTTCAGAAGGCTGACTGAGAAGAGTCTTTTATTTGGATGCAGTTTTCCCTCTTTTAAAGAATAGCAGAGGTTAATGTAACTAGGCCATTTCATCTCTCTTGAATTCAGCTTCAACAAACGGTCTCGCAAACATTTAGTTCATCAATGCAGACATACAGTTCAACTAGACTGACTACCAAGCATTCACAGTTCCTCACCCCACCTCCTCTGCTCATGACTATCAGTGCACTGAATCGCTGCCATACAGACATCTCCCCATTAACTGCACTGAGAACTTCCACTCCACGTTTACTTCTCTGAACCATGCACAAGAGTTGGTCTCGAAGCCAAAGCTCATCTCTTTCTTGTTTCCTCTGCATTGTGACACGTGTCGAAGGTTAGGTACTAAAAATTAAAATTGAGTGGAGAAGAGAGCTCACTAAAAGCTCACTTTCTCAGATGTGCTTAAGATCAGCCAGTGCATGTTCACAGGGGAACGCATGAATAGATGAATTTTACTTGCAGAGTAGAAAACAAACAAAAAATATGTTTGCTTTAGTTCTGCACTCTCAGAGAGCTTTAGCATTCTACACTGTATGCATCAGGAGATTAGCAAAGGAGGAAACAAAGACCTGACCAAGACCATTTTCCTCTAGCTACTCCTTCATTCATTCCAGCAGTAAGAAAACAGTACAATGCACAAGCCACGTTTAAGTTTCTTCCATCAGACAACTAGCTTTGTTGTGGTCATCCTGCAAACTTCCGCATCCGTATGCAATCATGTGCAAAGTGACAGTAACAGACAAAAACTGGTATTTTTTGAATAAAAAAAGAAGGAAGAAAAAGGCTTTTTATGTCTATACAGCCTTTCAATACAAAATAGCAACCATCTACGTTTTCAAAATTATAGCACATATCACACACATGACATCAGCACTATAATTCTCACAAAGCTTCACTGGGGGTGGGGAGTGGAACTCCACATGCTAAAACAACGTGCAATACATTAACAGTGCCAGTGCTAGATTATAAGAACAGAACTAAATGAACAAAATTGGAATAAAGTGGCACATCGAGCTCCAGCACATACAAAAGCTACTTTACTGACTGGCAGGGTTTCTAAGTGCCAGACATAAACTAGACAGTGCATTATCTCACTCTCAAAGCACTAGCCAGAACAAGATCTAATCTCAAATAAGCTACAAACTGAAATGTACATTGGTCTCAAAAACCCACTCTATTTCTGAATATTTTGCCATTTACGATAATAAAGACTCTACCTGGGCTTTTGATCCACTGAACACACCATTTATTTCTGTGGAACTACAGAAGGAATGGGTAGAATCTGTCCCAGTCTAAAACCATATTAGCCCACTACTGAGTACAGTTGCAAGAAAGAATGAACTTCTACTTACCTTATGTTTTTGTCTTCTACATCTTGAACATGGCCAGACCATATGTGTTAGGTCTAGTGCTACACGCAAAAGAGGAATTCTAATAGTTTTTCCCCAAACTCAACATTTTTAGTAATCACACTCCATATCAAAGTCACAGAACACCAACATTTTAATAATATTAAATCATTGTTGATAAAAAAAGTTTGCTTAAACATATGAAAGGAAGATAATTGTTTAAGCAATACAGATGTATTTCTACCTTATAGAAAAGTTCTTGTGATTTAAATACTCTTATTCATATGGAAAACTGAACTTGCAAATTATTAAAGGCAATATGTGCAATGATCTAAATGTAAATTCAATAATTTTGTAGATTTTAAGCATCTCCCTTGATCAAATATATTTTAAGAATAAATGCAAGTTAAAAGTGAAGTAAGATGAAACATTTTATGTTGCCTTTGATCTTTAACTTGTAGCCTTATCTCCCAGGTCAGAGGGCACATTATTCAATTTCACCATATTTTGTGTAAAACCACTGTAGCGTTGAAGATGACTTTCAGTACAAATGTCATGGTACTTAAAGCTAAACTGGACCCTAGTTTTTTAAGCTTCTTAATTAAAATCACAGTTTATAATGGTCTGACAATATTATCTTTATACTTTCCAGTTGAGCAGCAGCAGAATTTTCACAGCATTTACTCAATCAAGCTTAGCAACGTTTCTGCAGCTCATTCTTTCACTTCCTAAAACAGACAACGGGTTCAGAGTAACTAAGCTGTCACTCTATATAAATTTATTCTCTGTGTCAAAGGGAGTAAACTGGATCGGATGAAATCTAAACTGTTCAGGGGAACTGATGTTAAGAACTAATTCTGAACAGAGGAATGAAAAAGAGGAAAAAAACAGGACGACTTTTTCTTAAAGAAAAATCAAAAGCAAAAAATCACCTTAATTCTCTACTGCTACTTTGGGATGAATACTAGGTCCTACAAGTACAAGGATAAGAAGATTAGCCCATTCAAATTACATTTTTCACCCATGAGAAAAGGATCCCCGTGCTCATCTATAAAAGAACATAGTAATTATACTTCAATGCACCAAGGAGTTTGGCATGATAAACTGCAGCTATCACAACACAAGAAACTAAGAATACTGTATTTGAAAGCTGCTTAGATTCAAAGGAAATACTGCCACTTTTGACTATTTGTATTGTCATCATCATCAAAGCACGCAGGACTGTATTTGCGTTACACTATAAACTGACATTCTTTTCTCATAACAACTGTTACTTTTATTACTTTCTTACCATTTCATTCACTTTCTTTTGTAACGTGTATTTGGAAATCTGTAAAACAAAAGAGCTATTAATTGAATTGCAGTAACAATTTTTTTGTGAAGACAAACTGCAGATTCCTAAAAAATTCTCAAACCTAAGATTTAATTGCCAATCCGATACAGTAACGTGGCTTTCAAATTAAGAGTTTAACTATTTCTGTTATTGTAGATTCACTTTATAAAACCACACTTCCATTTAAAAAATCACATTGATTTGTATCTACAGTGATTTTGAAAAATGCATAACACCTATGTTGTCTGACATGTATCACAAAAATAAAGTGTACTGGGACTACAGCAATAAATTCAATCCCTGTACTAAACAGAGATAAGAATGAAAGTATTTTCTTATATCCTAGAAGAATAAAGTGGGTTTTCTGCTGGGGAGAAAGCAATCTTTCAGATAGAGGTTCCAAAGAGTGTGATATAAAGACACTTGCATGTTTTAAAAACACAGGGTTGACATTGCAAGTCATTAACATTATTTTTCATACACCACAGGCGTCACAGAATTTTGGTTTTTATAACATTTACATCTCCATGTCCTTAGTCCTACGTGGTTTTTGAACACCCTAACATGTACTGACAATGCCTAAAATAAAAATAAAGAGAGAAGTATCAGTGAATTAAGTGGAACATACAGAAAGCTCCTGATGAAACTAACTATGGAAATCAATACAAAACGTGGGAACTTTGTGAGTTGGATGTCCAGTGTTAATGTTTTTGTTCTTGCTGCTCAGAAATTTCTGAAACCACAGTTTCCAGACAGGGATCAGAAGAAGCATAAAGGAAGATTGTGGAAAACAGGAAGAAAAATAAGTCACATCTCACATGACATTTGGGTTTTGGAATCTGTGCGTTCTTCTGGAATAAAAGAACTTCAGCTGACAGCATGCTTAAAGCTAAAGGTTAGAACAGAAACTCAATGCTAGAAAGTAAGGTATGAGCATATCATGTAGATTAAAAGGGATGGTCTTAAAGACCCTCTGAAAAATAACTATTTTCTCTGGGGTAGGAGGGAGGCATGTGGAAACTATTCGAATATCATCAATGTTTATTTAATGAAAATAATAATTTACCTGTAATTCTTTTAATGTTTCTTTCAATCCATTGATTTCTTTTTCTTTTATTTCCACAGCAAGTTGATATCTTCCCTTTCAAAACATAATCTGTACTTTAAAAATATGTATTCTGCCCAAATCCTAATGATAAGAGCTTAACAACAAGAGTGTTATGAAGGTAACAAATAACTCTGCTAAATATTTTGGAATATACATCTGTATTGCTCTGAAGAGAAAAATGAATACATGATGGCATATTTTCCATCACTTACAACAAGCCTGCCAAGGGCAGAACTAAAATATTAATATCTAATAAAGAAAATCTTACAAATTATTACGAAAGCATAACAGTAGTTCTCAAGAAGCTACAGTTTGTAACTTTAGTAAAGGCCTCAGCAAGAAAAATACTTTGTTATAATATACTTAGCACGTGCTCCATAAGTTACGTCACATTATAACTTGCCTATGTGTGTCACTAGTTAGTAAACAGTGCATTATAATGAAGTACCTTTTCTTCTTCCATGGCAAACATCCTTGCCTGTAACTTGATTCAGTGGCACAAAAAAAAAAAAAAAGGAAACAAATCAATGCTGCACTTAGAGTTACTCGTATTCACACAAACTTACAAGACAGTGTATTACGTTGTATAGCCCACTTCCCTTATATAGGTGTATCTTATCTACACAATACATCGTTCTACAGCAGCAGCAAGCTGGTGAATCACAAGTTTTTTTTTGTTTGTTTGTTTGTTTTTTTAAGGAAAGAACTGCTTGTTTTTTGTGATATGATTGAAATTTGTAGCATTAGTGATAAAATTACTCATCCCCATGTGTAACAGTTTTCATTCCTATCACTGCTCAATATCAATGGATAAAAACACAAATCTTACTGGAAAGACTGAGACACACTTTCATATATTGAACTGAATAAGTTACATTGCAGATTTTTCCTCAATTGTTAAGAAAAAATGTCTGGAAGACATGCCATTTTAGAAAGAGATTGGGAAGAGGGAGTGTGAGGGGACACAACTGACATACAACAGGTTTTAAGTAAGTTTCTGCAGGAATTTTTGGGAAAGAGAATCTCAGAGAGAGTGGCTTACTACTATGCAGAACTGTCAATTGCAGCATGTCTGGATCTAAAAACAGACTTGATTTTTATGAGCTGCCATTTTTTGAACTCTTAGTGTCTCAGCTGGAAGGATTTATTGCTACCTGCTTCTTAAAAGCTGCCATAGCTTCTTTGTGTTGTTGCTGTAACGTGTCTGTCTGATGCTGCAGAGTTTCCTGCTCATGGGAAATAACAACAATCCTTTAAACATAATCTTACAGCAAAACGTATACATGGTCTTTTAAGAAAAACAGTACTTCTCTTACATAACTTTAGGAAGACATCACTGACTGAAAGCAAACCCTAAGGATGAGACAAGATATTTGTTAACCAGTAACCATCTTTTCAGCAGTGGCCTCTCTTCTAGTTGGCAGCAGGCAGCAGTTATCACCTCTAAAAGGTACGTCCTGCTGGAACTTCTAAGTGCAATTCTTACCAATCCCACCAAGATACAGAAGCCATCCAATGTCCATTGCCACCTTATGACAGTACCTTCATGCAGCTCAAAAAGCCATAACAGGATATTAACTTTCACCTCCATTTAAAAAAATATACTCTATTTTCCAGAGAAATCTTAGTAGTTTAACAAGCCACATAAAAGAGCTGAAGGCCGACAGAACAAACTAAGCCTAAGGTCATAAGATAAGATTTCCTACTTTAATTGTCCTGCTGCCTGGCTTTACTCACACACATAAAAAATACGCACACAAGAAAATGAGTTGAAGATAAACTATTATTTTTGTGTTTGCTACTGTTTTATATCAGAATCTCATACACTAATACTCCACTCTGCAAGTTGGCAGCCTTTAAGATCTTTAAGTATCACACTGCTATGCTCAAGACAGGAAAAACACAACCTAGGGGAAGTAATATGAAGATATCTTTGTTAGATCTTCTTTTGAAGCTCTAGCTACTTCAGAAAATAAAGGCAGTCAAGAACAACTACCACAAAATGCAGATGAACATTCAGCTAGGAAGTCTTACTGTGAAACAATGATTATGCAATGATTATGCAATAACTGCACAAAAATAAACACAAATTCAGACTATTAAAGAGTGACAGATGAGAAACTAAACTGATAATTCATTTCACATGTGAGAAGCCCATTTTCTTCTCCCCTGATTGAGTTTTTCAGATACAAACAATGTTAGATTCTGCAGCAAACAGGCATTACTTTTGAGTTCTGCAAGTGAGGGCTCGCATTCTTTGACCTGAGTATGAAGGAAATCTGTGAAGGCAGAGCATTTTATATTCACATACACATTCATTGTGAGATATTTTCAGAAGGTTCTTATTTGCATCTATCAAACAATACACACAACATGAATTATTAACGGGTAAAGAGCATACCAACTATGCTCAAAATCCAGAAATGATCCAGGAGTACCAGCAAATCAAGTATTCTTTGAGTATTAATCCTACCCACCACAGGAATACTAAGATTCTATAACCACAGTACTGCCAAATTAAGATGATACTTCTATAGAAATTCAAGCCAGTGACAGATAATTTACTGAAATATAAATTTGCTTTAACCCAATTGTCATCTTCTATACAACTTTGTTACTGATGCAATTTATAACCTGATCAAAGTATTACTGAATTCTTCAATAGATACTGCATTTTTCTTTCTCTTGTACATTCAAGTGATGTGTTTTAACAAAAACCCCTACTTAAGACTACTAAGTGGTGTGATTGTACATAGCTACCTCAAAAATTTAGTGCTTTGCACACCACATGTGTGATGCACAGGATATAAAGAAGAAAGTGACTTTCTCAAATGTACAAGCAAAATCACCTTTGATATTGTGATTCCACAGTAAGTATGAGTATACCTACCAGATTAAAAAGATTTTGTCCACTGATTTTCCCTATTTTAGTATTTTTCCCCCCAACAGCAGCAGCAATGTTCTTAAAACTAATATTACAATTTGAAAGCAAATTTCTGTCTTAAATCAGAAAATTCTCTTACGTTCTCTTTATTTGAAATCAGTTCACTAAGTTTAAGATAAAACAGAATGCATGCTAAACCACAGAAATGTTGGCAGAAAGGCATCTCTGAAGGAAAAATATAAAAGAATATTTGAAAAGTCCAGAGGAGCAGCTGTCTGCATACTGAACTTTGACTACTGTCAATGATTCCGCATTTGGAAACAACTGGGTCACAAATTCAAGTTAAATTTCATACTACTTAGCATTTTCATCTCACTTAAATCTCCAGAATCAGAAATCAGCTTGTTCCTTTGAAGCTCCAGAGTTTGATATAAGTGCTCTCTCTAAAACCTACAAGTCATTGTTTACATTGGGTTTGCCATATGCAAACTAAAATCCAAGCATCAAAAAAAAAAAAAGCCAGCAAAATGATTTCAGCTAGCTAACTGTAAGTCCCATCTTTCTACAAATGGTAAATTGCTGTTAAGGTCTGGGAAAGAACAGAACCACCCCTTTTGAACCCTGATTATTAGGGACTGCAATGCTACTTTAAGGAAAGCAAAGAAAGGTTACAAATAGAAAGCACTGCTGCTCCTATAAATATAAAATGTTTCCTGTTTCTGTGTGCACATATATATCTTCTGGAGGAAAAAAAAAGCACATAATTGGGATTATTAATTTAAGATGGTTAGGATGAACTCCAAGAAGAAATAGTCTTCCTTTACTACTAAGATGTTAAAGATCCCAAGATCAAGGATAGAGCTGAAGTTATTGTTTTTTCTGTGATCATAAAATATACAGAGTGAAGCCTTTTATCTTGTGACCCAGTGCCAAGGGTCATAGGTTTGACTGTATTTGAGAAAGGAACGGATTTCCTATGAAAGCATAACCTCAGGAACCCTCACCCTAAAAAGAATGTTAGGCACTGTATTGAAAACTTCGTTGTGAGTAAGGGTGACAAACTTCTGAGTATATCTACCTTGTAAGTTACTGTTAAAAAAAATAAACATGTATAAATGTTAGAGAAAAAACTTATAGTCAAAATACTACAAGTTGTTTGTGCATTGACCTTGGCACTAGCCAAAGCCAGGCACAGTACACAGCTGTTACTATGTAGCTTCCCCCATGTTACTGTGTCAAGTTTCCTTGTGTTCCATTGCTTCAATATTAACACCCTTTCGACAAAAGATTGCCAGTCGTGCCAAATATTATGATGAGATTCTTTTGTTAAGCAGATTTTTACATTGAGCACAATTAAAATCAGTACTAAAGCTACAGCATGGCTAGACAAACTATTGTCTACCACATTTCACAATTGACAAAAAGACTTAAGAATTGTATCGAGCCACAATCCAAATTAGTATTATCTTAAAACCAAATCTCAGCAGTTGAAAGACAAAAATCACATAAAAGTTACCTTCTGCCACTCGAGTTCTTGTTTCTCCACAACAATTTTACTTAATTGATCTTCATAATTGATCTCCGTTTCCTAATTAAAAATAAGACAGTTACCTACAAATCAAACACCAACATAGTTTGTCTGCTCTTACTGCTCCTTCTTTACAATCCAGAACACAGAAGTTACTGTACACTGTGCTTATATACTGCACAACCAGAAGGAAACAGTAGATTTGCAAATCTTCTGACTGAAAGAGCTGAATTAATAACAGATTGATGTGAACAGCAGAACATTATGAACTAGGATCCCAGCTCTTAGTTGACAGAAGCAGCCCACTCTTCATACGTCTTCTGTTCTGCACCTTACAACAAAACCAGGCTCAAAGGCAACAAAACAGACTCAATTTTGCTTCACAGCTGAAAAGTGATTGGACATCCTGATGAAGGAAGCCACTGGCTAGTCAATTAATCAATGACAAATAATCACGGCTAAATCAGAATCTTTGAGATACCTTAATGACTGCACAATGATTTGACTCAGAGCACTGAATCTCTTCTTTTTATCCCCCCCTTTTTCTTTCTTTTTGACATCTCTTAGCAATCACATTGTTGTAATGGAAAGTGAAACATTCATTGCAACCTTATGTGCCAGTAAGTCTTCTGACCTACCAGACTGATACAAAAATGAAAAGAATTCCTGGATAATCACTTGCATTTTTGATAAGGTGAGCTACCTGCAAAGAACATGAATAAAGGCCAAAGGTTCTTCACCATCCAGGAGATGGAGCAGCAGCAGTTCAGGTGTGCTACATCACCTGTTCTTAGAGAACTGCCTTGTCAAGAATCAAATTATTACTGTGATAACAAGATATACCTGCTGTAATCACAACTGTGAACAATTTATTGTTCTCCCGAAACATTCTGGCACCAAAACGAGATTTTCCTAAGAGGAATCAGTTTCCTGTGTGTTATTTTTATTTTCTCTTACAAGTGCTGTCCTCCTTTTACAAATACAGTGCTGAAAGGAAGATCAAGTCCCCTCCCAAAAACAATGACAACGGCACCCACACCTTAGATGCAGATGATTATAAGCAACACACTGCTCTCCTATTACATACGGCCAAATAATGAATATGCTTTAAAGATCTGAGACTGTTCCCGTCCCAAAGCAGGTAATTCAAGCGTTCAGAAATGCAATTCTTAAATCCTGTGCAAATGAAAGTGTTAAGCTTTTAAGAGGACACTTGCAGAGTAATAAAATGGCAAAACAGGTCCCAAGATGATTTAAACATAGGCTTTTGATACTGACATCTTTTATAATTTCCAGGATGAAAACTGATATCCTTATTTAACATACAGTAAGCAAGCAGATGTGTGCCGAGATGTAACATACGCTTTCATGCACAAGATGCTCCTCCTAAGTAAGAGTTACATGCTGGATATAAAAGCACACCTCAAAACTCATGTGAACCTTACACAGAAAATACCAAACACGTATTTAAAATTAAAATCTGTTTCACAGAGAACTAGCTACATTTTTTAGCTTTTATTTCCCTACTATGTACCAAGAGGGTATAGATAGAGAAGAAACCTAAAGATTTTCAAGACTTAGCGTAGGAAATACATTTAAAATTTGGAAAAAGTAACAGTGCCTCAGTTCTGTCTTCACAAATCATACTTCAGTTATAATGATTGTTTTCCCTTACTCACCTATAAACAATAAATAGTAAGATATTCTCCTAAAAACAGAGTAGGCTGACTTACAGCTTCTTACAGAAGTGCAATCTTAAGCAATTTAAGCTCCTAAGCAAGAAATGCTATTAAAACAATGCATCATTAGCAGAAGTTTTGTACATTGTAAGTCTGTAAAAAAAATGATCCTTACCCTCCACCCATGTGCAGACACCTGCATATGCAGTGGGCAATTAAGCTGGGAGAAGGAGGTGGCAAAAATATCACTGATTTCAATGGTTGTTGGAGAGCAACCAGTATCTATCCACATTAAACTTACCATGAAATAAAGGGAAAAGAGTGCAATATTTTAAAGGGCAGCAGCAGAACATACATCAGTGTTACTAATTCCTGACAAAGCAAACTTACATTCAAATCAACTGGGATGGCTTATATCAATAAGTTACCAAACCTTTAGTAAAGATAAAAACAGAAGTTGGTTTATTACAAACTAACAAAAAGGCTTCATGTAAAAAAATAGGATTTACAAATTATTTGTAATCAAGTACACACATACACCATTTCTGTTCTAAGATGTCTAAATATTTTAAAATTTAACGAGGACACTAAAATTTAACATTTTACAATTGATCTAGGAAACAGCATGTCACATTTTAAAGCCCACTGATAAATAGTCACCACTGCATCTATACTGAGCCCTTTACATTTAACTAAATAAAGTCTGAAAACTGCATTAAATTCCATTTCAATTCAGCCCTTTGCTTTGAATGCTAGAGAGGACAAGAACTGAAGTTCTCTATGTGAACAACACTCCTCCAACTTACTCCCAGATTATAATGGAAAACCTGCAAGCTCTCAAAAATGTGTACATATACGTAACTACTGTTGAAAAAAACAATAAACATCGTAAATACTCAAAGTGAGAATGACAATTATATGCTGAAAGTGTTCTCATGTGAAATCGCTAACAATTATAAGCCTTATCCATCATTTTTACTTCTTTCTAAGGACATTTATAGTTTCCCCATTTTGAAGTGAAAGCTTTTAAAACTTGTGAAGTGCTTTTTTTTTTTTTTCCTTAAGAAGTTCCAACAGCTGTTTAATAGGAGAAAAACATTTTGTTATACTTGGGAGCATAATGCCGTATATAACTTTGATGAGGTATCAAAAAGCCACAAAACCTTAAAAGTGCTCATTTTTTATTAGCTGCCTTAGGACTACATGGATTTAAGGGTTTTTATAAAAAGACTACCATAACAATAAAAGAGGAGTCATTTGATGGTTTATTTACTCGTTATAACCTTTGGAAAGTGTCAAGCGTTGGTTAAAGTGTTTGCTTCAGGCTGCAGTTTTACAAGACGGGCTGTGGATTGGTCAAGCCCCCTCGATTCCTGACCCTGAACAGATTTAGGAACAGAGTACAGCTGGCTCATGTCCAAGCAGCCAAAACTGCTCCTAGGTACTTTTATTATCTTTTTCAAACTCATAACCTACCTCCTACGAAATTGCACAGCCAATTTCTCATGCAGCTCAATCAAATAGGACTCATAGGAACTACAGCTTATGATTGTTTCATGCTATGATTAGAATATCCTCCATGAACTAAACAGTCAAACTTTTAAAAGACTGCAAAGAAATGCGTCAAGTTTTGATCCCAGGACAAATGTTAAAGGCAGAGAAAAATATCACAGCTTGATTCCAATTTTCATTTGTGACGTTACATTTTTGGCTCTTCATAGCTATGACACTTAGTAAAAACCTTCAGTAGCCATACACATGCAATTTAGTCTCAAATATTGTCCTTCAGAAGCACACTATCAACTATATCTTCACGTGAGCAAAGAAACGAGGATGTATCCCAGTCATCTGTTTTCCTTTGAAAGCTTTTCACTGCTCTGCCCATCATGTGGCAGTTTATCTGTAATTAGATCTTTAAATTCTTAACTGGCACTCAGCATCTTATCTCCAACTTCAAATAATAAATTCTTAATCAAAAGACATTTGCTAACAGGAGTTATAAGCTAACAGTGCTTATTGACTTGAATACCTCCTTCCCCACCCCCACACACCACCAGAGCACAAAACAAAACAGACACATTTATTTCTGCAACAGTTTCACTCAATCTCACAGTTTTGGCCACGACACTATTGTTGCACTTGAACAGTCCATGTAGCTACCACAGGTGCCTCTGGTGCCCTTTTTAACTTCACACCATCCTCCACATTTGAAGGCTCCTGAAGTACTCTCACAGACCACCCCACGAAGCAGGTGTAGCATGGGGTTATTTGCTGCCATTTTAGGTCCAGATACAGTATAACCAATGTGATCATAGCTGGCAAGTCCACAAATGTTTTAATTTCTCCACTAACTCAAGCTTAGACTTCATGGTTTGCTCTTGCTGATAAGTAAGCTTATGGTTTCATCAACTTCCTTAATAATGGCAAACACCAATTTATCTTATGAGTATAAATGGCATTTTTAAGTACTAACCTCCAGGTTTCAATTTGCATCTCAATACTGAACCCCACTTGCCCATATTACCTGCAAAGCAGTGCTAAATCCATCAGTTGGCTGTGCTAGCACATGCAAATACACCTCTGTTCTAGAGTGGGCTAGCTCAGGTACCCTTGAACATTATGGCATTAAAGCATCAGGCCTTACGGAGCCCAGAAACAAGTTACAGGATCAACAGTACTACTGCTGTGATGTTTCAGTCAACGTCAGGAAAGGCCACTGCAGGTTCTCAGGCATGGAAGTGGTCACTGCAACTTGCCTTTTGCATCAGAGAGAAGCTTTAGTACATTTTTTAAAATCAGCACTAAGATTTCATCTTCACTATGTTCAACTGATCACCAACATTGCTTCAGCTGTTACCAAAGGTGCACACATTGCATGCTACAAAAACATTTCTGTGCAAATAAATCCTTGATTTACGTTCACATGCTTTTTACACCATCTGGAGAAAGAAACCTATTCAATACACAGCATCTAAGTTTCCTTGTAACTCATAATCTTTGCCTTCAAATGCACAGTCAGCTTCCTATCTGTACTTCAGGAAACACAAGAGCCTTCCAGTTTCACTTACTGCACAGAGACTTCATACTGTTAAATAGATGACATTTATCTATTAAGAGTTGCCTCATATTACTCAACAGAATAAAACCAGCTGATTGCAGAGCAGCACTGAGACTCTGGAACAAAGAGAAAGAGCTCCACCACAAAAGAATCACTGGGTTGACCAGTGCTGGTTGAGTGGGACAGCTAGAGTAGCAAAAAGAGAAAAGGACATTCAAACTCTACTCCTGGAGGAAGCAGAAATAATAGTTTAAACAGAATTATGAAGTTAAAAGCTACAAAAAAAAAAAGTCATACTAGGAACAAATACTCTATTAACAGCCTTAACAGCCTAAGGAATGAAGTGAAGCTGTACTGAGTACAGTATTTTAAGCCACAGTGCCTAGAATAAATGCAGCTGCCACTGACAATAAATGGGATTTCATATCTAAGATGGCAAAGCAGTCATTACTCAGAGAATTTAGAATTATGAGTAAAATCTCTAAATTACTTTGGAGACTTTAATTACAGTGATATGTTTAGCAAAGAAAAGTGAAAAACAAAGGAAGTAACTCAACACGTTTATTTAAATAAGCACATCTGAAAAAGTCTTGACTTCATCCTATGGTATCAAGTTTGGACCACAACAAGTCCCTCAAAATATTTTAGTACTTAATGGTGTTTTTTTTATCTGTCAAGCTTTGCACTGACTGTTTCATCTGCAAATTTTTATAAATTTGAGTTCATACTGCAGTATAACCAACAGTGCAAGGCAGCTTATTAAACACAAATACACGTTAGTTCCCCTTCTGAAGAGAATCCTGTCTAAGTGACAAGGCCAACAACAGGAAGAGAAACAGAAGCAAACAGATGCAAGATTACTCCTCTAAGGTCAGGCCACAGGTCATAGACACAACTGAGAGAAAACCCCACAGCACCTGGCTGTGCTGCCTCCACTGGACAGCATTTAATGAAGATTTTAATTTACTGAATTTAATGAAGATCCACACAAGCAACTTCAGGGAAACAAACAAAAAAAATGCAAGAGAAGCAAGAAACAGCAGAGCTTTAACTTCATTTGCCTGTTTAGCAAGTGACAATGTTTTAATTAAGGTGTTTGTTCTTGTCTGTAGGAAAACCAGCGCAGTGCAAAACAAGAAGTGTAATTCTGAGTAAGCACTGCCTTTTTCTCAGTGCTGATTATAAATCCATAAAATAACCCTCGGATTTGTACCAGATTTATACTAAATTCAGGAAATGATCTTGTGGAATCATTTGAAAGCAAGAGCATCCATAAAATTTCTACTTAAAAAAAAAAAAAAAAAAAAAAAGAGGTACTATGCATGGCCATATCATTTCACAATCCTTAGTTGTTCATAATGTTGAAGTTCTTTATTCCAGTTTTCAATGATACTAAGCAAGCAGCCCTAAATTCATCATTAAAGCCAATAAAATGCATGCAGAGACACTTTTAAGTTCTCAGACTGAGTAGGTGTCAAATGATCAGCTTTTTTTGACAATTCTTATTAAAAGCAGGTAAAGGTAAAATAATTTTAAGGATGAAGGAAGGTACAGGCATTTTAGAAACTGAGTGACATCTTATCTATGAAATTGGCTCTCAGCATTTGTAACACAATAGAAGTGCACCAGTGACAGCAGAGCAAGGACCCAGGCTGTAGCAAGTGAGGATTTGCTCAAATGCAACAGCCATGGGCACAGAAACAAAGGATAGACACTGTTTACCTTCAGAAGGCTGCAGGTGGGCAGGGATCTCCAGCAAGACACCCTTGCCTCCACTGCCAACCCTTAAATGAGGTCCGGGAAGGGGTGGATCCTGGCTGCATGCCTTTCAATCACTCAGTGCACTGCACACACCTGAGCTCCCCTGGTTGGCCCTGCCTTCCCACCAGGTGCTCAATCACTGCTTCAAGCTGTGACTTTGCATTTCTGCTACAGCATTAACATCAGTTTTGAAAGTAAAGATTCACTTAACCAAGGAAAATCACTTACCTTCTTGAGAAAACCTTGACTAAAATGAGTCACTTACTCCTGTAATATGGCAGACACAAAAGAGACCAAACAAAACTATCCCCAAAGATGAAGCTTTATGACACTAAATAGACTCCAACCAAAGGGATTAAAACAGCAAACACAGCAAAAAAGCAACCAGTATAAATGAAGTTTAGCTAACACCTTCTGGTACACTCCTGTATTTATCATGGCAGTTACACCCTACAGACTTTTTAATACAAAAAATAAATAGGCAAGGCTAAACATTGCCATTGGGGCAAGAGTCTAGGGATCAAACATGGTGAATTTCAGAATTAATTCTGCACAGTGCAAGTGTTTCCTTGTAAAACCTACAGAAAATTTCAGTTACAGTCACTGCCTTAATGACGTGCAACTTTAAAAACCAAATTACAGTTGGTGAAGTCCTTAAAATACAATGTGAAACTGACTCATACCTCTGCAACATTTTCTATGATGATAGGCAGGAAAACAAAATTAAAACATTCAAAACAATATAAACACATTTACCCTCCTTATCCGCAGTTCTTCTATAGTCTCCAATAAACTTGTTTTGAAGTCCAAGAGACGAATGGAGAGCAATGTCTCTGATGGACTCTGAATAGTGGAGTCAAGCGGCTGCATTTTAAGGTCTTCATCCATTCTTAGGGCTTGTCTGCTATGGAAAAATGTACATTTTCTTTTTGGTTGATCTTGAAGAGGATATTCAAACGATAAGAAAAATGCAAATAAATACATTTTGCAAATAGTAAAACTACTTGTTAAAGCCATTATGCAATCTTTTACATTTCCATTTTAAATTAATGTATGGTACTGTTAAAAAAAAAAAAAAAAAAAGCAACAAAACAAAACCCACCAGCTCTACCATCAATTCACAATATTCATTTACTTGTCTCTATGTTAGATTAGATTTTTGTTTTAAATGAAGACCACAGTGAGCATGAAGTAGAACTTTATTTGTCCCCAGAGCTACTGCCCTATGCAGGCACGAAGGTACAGAAAATAGTACATCTGGCCATTGAAAGGCATAATTTTCCCCAGCTTGAGATTTGAAAAATAATAATTCAGGCTCAATTTTGAAGGAGATCTTCCAACTGACAATACTTGGGATTTCTGACTCTGACCTTTCAGAAGAAAACTTTCCCCTTCTATTCCCATGAGATCTAGTACTGATGTTTGGGCTCTAACCTAGTTCCATCAACTGCAGTCAAGCAAGGAGCCGCACTCACTTTCATACACATCTCTAGGGAC